TCACCAGATTATTCACTACACAGAACACACAATCTATAGATTGTGTGTTCTGTGTAGTGAATAATCTGGTGACCAGTTTCACGTATATTAAGAACGAACTGGTCACCAGTTCGTCATGAGAGAGTGAAATTCATCATTAATTAGGATAATTATCCCTAAATTATAAAATCCCTAAATCAAAATCCCTACTTTTCATCATCATTGATTTTGCTATCCCTAATTGTGGATTTGATTCCGGGATGCATTTGTGGTAACCTGATTTAGGGTAAATGATAGACATTCCAAAACGATTTGAAGAATTGCAAAAGTTTGTGCAAGAATTGTCTCGTGATGCTGAAAATTCCTTGTGCGATGATGATAAACTGCAAAGTTTTGAGGATTTGTTAAAAAATATTAAACTATTTAAGTTGTACCTTCAATGCCAGAAATGCACTAGAAGAACTGATAGGCGACTGCAGTCTCGACGTCATCGTAGATTTGAATAATCTGAACGAGCAAAAACTTATTGTACCTCAAAGAATAAAATAATAAAATAATTGGAATTTTTTGACTGCCGTAATGATCTTCCATATTCAAAGCGATGATGCTCAATATGCTTTATAATTCATTACGGCAGGTATGCACAAAGTAAAGCTATTTAGCAAAAAACCGCTGCGTCGGCAGTTTCTGTAGCTTGCCCAGGACTAGCAAAATCGTTAGTATATTATTGTTTTACAAAAGAATTAAAATCTAAATTTATTTTCTACTAATTGATAAGTATTTTTTTCAATTATATTCGTGACAATCAGTTGTATGTATACAAGTCTATCTTCAGATGTTGTTGAATATTGCAACAAATGTATCGATCACTTCCAGACATATGCAAATTCCATCGATGCTGTTCAATTAGTCGATGGATCATGTGCACAAATCTTCAGTTATTGCTCATCATTATCTGATCGTCTTCAAGAGGGTTTGAGCAATACTGAAAAGGAGCTCGATGGTGATGATAAAGAAATATTAACATGCGATGATTAGTCAATAGTAAAGACAAAACATCTCATTTTCATATAAATAAATAAGAATAAAAACTAACATCATAAAAGAATGAGGATAATTCTTAGTCGTTGAACATAGTGCGCTACACAAATCAAATGTTATTATAGACCCGATGGTTTTTTCAATCTTTCGTGTCTTGAGTGGGATTTTTGGCAATAGGGAAAATAATTTATTTTGTCAGTTATCACAATAAGCAATTGAACAGAGTAATACAACAATTCCATATTAAATCAATCGTCGATGACAATGCGTTCGAGAGTATTTTTTAGATTAATTTCACTTTCGATTTATTTTCTTCAAAGTAATTTTGTTTCACATAGAACTATGATAACCAAATTCGAAGTTCGGTGCGACTTGGAAAACGTATTTGACATATCTTAGAATTTACTTAGGGTTATCCAAAAGTAGTGAGGGAGGCCTTGTTTTCCCTTATAAGTTAATAGAAAAAAATTGTCTTTTTTACAGATCGATAGAGCGTCTTTCGCTCTATCTTTCTGTGATATTTGATCAATATTAAGCTAGGGTCAAAGTGGTACTTTTTCGACGAAAACAAATTTTGTTGAACTTCAGCTGGTAGCAGCAGTGCAAAAATCATCCCCACGTGTTGTTTTTTTCGTTTTTTCTTCTTTTTTTTTCGTTTTTTCTTCTTCTTTTCTCGTTCTTTCTTCTGTTAATGTCTGCTTATCTCTTAAAACGAACGACCCTTCGTACGTGCATTACTGCTAGTGCATACTCTAGTAAGACGCAAAATTCAGTCCAAGAGTCACTCTATCTTGTTTCTTCATTCCAGATGAGTAAAGAAAACTTTCGTTTTTACATTAAAGTGCGTACCGCACTCGATGTCCAGGCAAGAGTTATCCACGATGAGCTGTATTCTGTTTATGGTGATCAAGCTCCGGGTCTCAGTACCGTAGAAAGATGGTCCAAACTGTTTCGAGAAGGTCGAGAAGAACTTGAAGATGATGCAAGATCTGGCAGACCAATCAGCGAAACGACACCTCAAAATATTGAACAAATTCGCCTTCTCATCGACGATGATCCTTATCTCACGATAGAAGAAATACAAGAAGAAACTGGTTTCAGCTATGGCACGATTCAGCGAATCCTCACCACTCATCTGAATCTTAGGAAGATCACTGCACGCTACGTACCTAAAGAACTCACTGATTTGCAACGAGCCGAAAGAGTGCGGATATGTAAAGAAAACTTGGAAAAAATTCAACAAGGGACATGGCGATTATGCGATATCATAACTGGTGACGAATCGTGGTTTCGTCCTAAACAGCTCGGTCGAAAGTCATCACATGCAGCGTGGATCAGAAGAGGAGATCCTCCACCCACTGTAGTCCGACAGAACAGGTATGCTCCAAGGACCTTGCTAGCCATCTTTTTCAAATCGAACGGTCCTTTGCTCATTCACCGTTTGGAACCAGGAGAGACTATCAACCACCACTATTACATCGATAACTGTTTGCGTCCTGTCGTCGATTAAATTAAACGCCAAAGACCTTCGTACGGAACTCGTGGCATCAAGTTTCATCATGATAATGGAAAACCGCATGTTCACAACAATGTCCTGGCCTACCTTGAGTCGGAAGGTCTCACGGTGGTACCGCATCCGCCTAATTCTCCTGACTTATCCCCATGCGATTTTTGGTTATTCGACTTGATCAAAGAGAATCTGCCCGATCAGAGTGATTCGCAATCGTTGCATGATGCTGTGATTAGTTTCATGAATTCTCTAAGCAACGAGGAATATAAAAAAACATTTGAAAAATGGATTGAAAGAATGCAACTGTGCATTGATAACCAAGGTGATTATTTCGAACATTTGATGAAATAAACAACTCATACACTCATCCTTGTATCTCTTCATGCTATCAATAATGCTTGTTTGGCGCGAAAGGCATGAAGGATTGTTCGTTTTAAGAGATAAGCGGACATTAACAGAAGAAAGAACGAGAAAAAAAGAAGAAAAAACGAAAAAAAAAGAAGAAAAAACGAAAAAAACAACACGTGGGGATGATTTTTGCACTGCTGCTACCAGCTGAAGTTCAACAAAATTTGTTTTCGTCGAAAAAGTACCACTTTGACCCTAGCTTAATATTGATCAAATATCACAGAAAGATAGAGCGAAAGACGCTCTATCGATCTGTAAAAAAGACAATTTTTTTCTATTAACTTATAAGGGAAAACAAGGCCTCCCTCACTACTTTTGGATAACGCTAAGTAATTTTGAAAAAAACAAAAAATTTTATGATTTATACAAAGATTCCGTTTTTATTTTTGCTCCATTTCTAGACGGAATGTTGAAGCTTGAATGGATCAATATGTCTCAACTACCTAATCAAGCTAAACAACGAGTATGTGAAAAAATAAAACAGTTAATTCTCGATCAAGGTGTTGTCATTGAATATTCTAATCACAAAAATAATGAACCTGATACAGATGTGATTGAAGAACAACAACAGGCATCCAGTGCTCCAGCATTAGATTCGCCTGGATTAAAACGAAAATGTCTTTTTCCAAACAATCAAAATAATCAGAAAAATAAAAAAAGATCTGTGGATCGATACAAATTCATCCAAGAAGAAATTGTAAATTATATCAAAGATACTGATGATGACAGTATGATGCTTTTACAACCACCAAATTCTTTTTCAAACTCATACGAAACCTTATCAAAATTGGCTACAAAATATTTATGTATTCCAGCAACTTCTGCTGCTGTTGAGCGAGTCTTTTCACAAAGCAGCTTTCTTTTAAGACCGCATCGTGCTCGAATGTCATGTAAAACTCTTCAACAACTAACATTATTAAAGTGTAACAGTGGAATTTAATTCCTATATTGTTTCGTTATTTAGCACATTTTTTTCTTTAGCTGTTTTTTTTGCTAATGATCATGTTGAAAATTTGCTTCTTTTGATATAGAATGGAAGCACGATATATTAATTTGCTCATAAATAAATGAAACTAGATGAAATTTTACGAAATGAAATAGTTGCTTCACTCACTTTAACGGTAGTTTGAGTTATTTCAACACTATACCGGAAAGCAACGGAACTTACCTTGAAAATCCGTTTGGTTTATTTCATGTACAAAAGTGACTTGACTTGACTTGAATTTTAACTTGGACTTGGAGACTTTCAAATATGACTTGACTTGACTGGAAATTCTTGAACAACAACTATAACTCGACTTGACTTGACTCGAAATTTTCGAAAATGATTTTGACTTGACTTGGGTAAAAAAATTGGTGACTTGCCCATGTCTGAGAAAACCTCAAAAAACGTTAAAAAACTGCTTTTTTCAAAACGAAACAAAAACACTTGATTTTTCAACAAAACTAGCCTTTTACCATTGTTTTTACAATCCAAACAATTTCAAAGGGTATCACGTCGATGCAGTGTGAAAAACTACGCCTGATGAGTGTATATGGAAACCGTCTGGATTATAAAAACAATGGTAAAAGGCTAGTTTTGTTGAAAAATCAAGTGTTTTTGTTTCGTTTTGAAAAAAAAACATTTTTTTAACGTTTTTTTAGGTTTTCTCATTAGTTTTCGCATTTTATCATTGCAAAAAGATGGTTAGCAGGTTTTCTAATTTATGCAGTTTTGTAGAGCTCGACGAACTCTATCTAACCATGTAAAAATATTCGGAAAAATAACCTCATCTCGTTTCAGANAAAAAATTTATTTAATCTTTTATTTTTGCACCCCCTAAACCCTCTTCTTCCCGGGCTGGCATCTTTCAAAAAACTCATTCAGTTTGATTCTAAAAATGAAAGCGGGCCCCCCCCCCCCCCCCCCCCCCTGGAAAAATATTATTTCCAACCGTGTACTTGGAATTTTAGAGAACCTTACATATGTGACGCTAATCGAGTAGTTGACAAAGCAAGATTTTTACATAAATCGCCATTTGTTCTTGTTGATGTTGGATTTGATCTTGCAATCTCTCTGCGGATATTAATAATACAAATCAACATTTTACAACAATTATTAAAACACAAAACGGCGCTTATTATCATTTTGATGATATCCATCCAAAAGGATGTGTCAATCATGATGGTCGCATTCTCGTCGAATTAGTATTATATATACTACAATTATAATGCATACACTTTCTGAACGATTCATATTAAATCAAAAAAAAATTTCTTCTTCAATCTGAAACGAACTATTTGGTTTCTTTTCTTTTGAAAATATTTATCAATATTCATTTCGTTCCTTATTATGTGCCCATTTCTTTTTCTTTCTTTGATTGACAACTTTTGTCCATAGCAATCTTCTTTCTTTTTTATCTTTAATCGAATTAATTGTTTTTTATTCATCCAGATAAATCTATTAACGTGATATCTCTCGTTAATTGCGTACATCACCATAAACATATACATGCATACTCTTTAGAATAAATTACACTTTTATTATATTTCAGTTCCAGCTGAAGTCTGTTTTTATTAGTTATGTTGAAAAAGACGAAATATATCGTAAAAAATCTAACATAACTCATCGAGTGAAAAAAACGAAATAGTTATGACAAATTTCATGAAATTTAGTAACAATCCAATCGATGCTGTCTTAAACAATGACGTGAAAAGGTACATTCATAAAAAATTTTACATGTCTTTCCATTTTTCAATATTAGAAGAGGAAAATCTTAAGTATTTCTACAATTCCTCACATATTTACAGTTGAACAAAACTTAATTTTTTCATGCTATTGGAGCTTATAACTTCATTTTTCATATATTTTCAATTACAACTATATCTAAGAAAAAAAACTGCATCAGCTGTAACATGTATGTGAACTGTCGTGCTCATCTTTGATCTCTAAATGACTAGCATAAATGACTAGTAGCAAAAGAAGTTGAGTGAGATCTCCACTTATGATCCATGACCCCTCATTCAACTTACACCATTCTATAGAGAATTTTATTTAGAATCCATCACAACCACTTAGAAATCCATCACAAGTGTACAAGCGAATATCAGCAGGAAATACTCGAATCTGCTGATAACTTCCACTACGTTTCCTATGTGAATAGTATTGTACAAGTGGTAGTTGACACATCGAATACAACCATTGCACTTGTTCGATATCATAACTGGTGTGTTGTAGACAAGATGCATCAGCGCGACTCTATTCGGACTAAGGATGTTGTTCTACAACATATATGAATAAGAGATGTATGTATCAGATAAGAGAAATGACGTTATTCACTATTATTTAAGACTTGAAACTCTTGTTGTTTTGCTCCGTCAAGTTCTGGTGTCCCATAGCTACAGCGGTCATATTGATGATAACAATTCGTATACAAACAAGATTTTCCTAAACCAACACATGTCCAACTTAACATCGAATGGCAGTCGATACAGTATTTCCGACGATCAGTTTCAGCAAATCCATAACGAACATAATTCCATTCGATTTGAGAAGGTGCCATAATTCAACGATTTTTGGCGTATGTGATCGAGTGAAATGTAATAAAGAAAATAAGGAACAACGGTAAGTGAAAAAGAACTAAGATCAGACTGAGAATAATTTAATCTATTCTGGTCGTGAGACAATAAATAAAATATTATCTCTCATCGAGAATGTATCGAGAAAAACATATAAATAGGTGCGTTTTGACGTATATTTGGTATAATGATGCAAAGGACATACTTGTCGATCCTCGTTCCTAGTGATACGACAGATCTGAAATAGTTGCAGATCAATAGCACTGTACATGAGGTACAATTGGTAAAAAAATCATCCTTCTTTGATGAAGAATTGAAGTTACATAAATAAATGAACGTTGTGGTATCCGGGTGGTTGATGACACTCATTGAATTACTTTTCCAGACATTACCACACGTTCAAGACAACTTTAGACCGCTCATCCGTAGCCTTAGAAAAACATGTCAATTGTACCAGAATGATTTAGTCTACCTAGACGACCGTTAGTAACAGATTGATAATAAAGAAAGAAAGATAAAAAAGCGCGATAAAAGCTTAGCAAGTCTGTAAGAAAATGCTCAGGCTGTCAGTACCCATATTAGCGACGGCAAAATCTAGTTTTCGGTCATTATCAAAATCTCCAACCACGACAGAGAACGGATGAGCTCCATAGCTTAATGGAACAAAGATAATGCTTGCAAATGTGCCATCGCCATGACCATGAAGAACATCGAGATAGCTGTAGTCAAAGTTCGCTATGATAATGTCTAATATGGCATCGTCGTTAAAGTCGCCAACAGCAAGAGAGTATTGAGACGATGGTGAATCGATAGGAAACGTAGTGAGATTTGCCAAAGAGCCGTTACCATGACCAAAGAAAACGCCAACAATAGCCGAATCACAACTAGCGAAAACAACATCCATTTGCATATCATTGTTGAAATCACCTGCAGCTATAGAGCACACTGATAAATATGGATGAGTTGAATAAATCATTCTGTGTGTGAAACATCTAATACCACATGAAAGAAACACACCGACGTCATTGTTGTCTGAATTGATCACCGCAATATCCATTAAACCGTCATTGTTAAAATCGCTAGATACCATGGATTTAGGTCGAGACCCATTTCCAGTCATGAGTGTCGTTTCCTTTTCAAATACCACATAGTCAGATCCAAGAAGGATGCTCACATCAAAGCTAGCATAGTTGGCGACAGCTATGTCTAGTCGAGTGTCGTTATTGAAATCACCAATAGCTACAGAGCATGGATCAGAACCAACTGAATACCTTGTTTGATCTGCAAACGAGCCATTCCCATTGCCAAGAAGGATGCTCACATCATTGCTATACTGATTGGCGACAACTATATCTAGTCGAGTGTCGTTGTTGAAATCACCAATAGCTACAGAGGATGGACCAGAACCAGCTGAATACCTTGTTTGATCTGCAAACGAGCCATTCCCGTTGCCAAGAAGGATGCTCACATCATCACTACCTTGGTTGGCGACAACCATGTCTGGTCGAGTGTCGCTGTTGAAATCACCAACAGCTACAAACCGTGGAAAAAAGCCAACTGAATAACGTGTTTGATTTGCAAACGAGCCATTCCCGTTGCCAAGAAGGATGCTCACATCATTGGTACGCGCGTTGGCGACAACTATATCTAGTCGAGTGTCGTTGTTGAAATCACCAATAGCTACAGATTGTGGATTACGACCAACTGAATACCTTGTTTGATCTGCAAACGAGCCATTCCCATTGCCAAGAAGGATGCTCACATCAGCACTTCCTTGGTTGGCGACAACTATGTCTGGTCGAGTGTCGTTATTGAAATCACCGCTAGCTACAGAGTATGGAGAGAAGCCAACTGAATACTTTTTTTGATTAAGAAAAGCAGCATATCGACCAAAGAGTATATCGATGCTACCGGTATCATTATTCACGATAATAACATCTAACCGACGATCCCTGTTCAGGTCACCTATCGCCATGGAAATCGAAGAAGAGGATCCAGTTGAATACATGATCGGATTGTCAAAACTACCATTTCCAAAGCCGAAAAGTACATCTGTATTTGCAACACCACTACTAGTGAAAACAATGTCCAATCGTTGATCTTCATTGAAATCTTCAACACCAATCGCGTATGGAGAAGCAGAGCCGAGAGAGTAGATGGCGTGATTCGTAAAGATGCCATTACCATTATTCATTAGTACACCTATTTGGCGACTTCCAGATTTACTCACGGCTATATCGAGAAATTCGTCGGCATTCAAGTAGCCAACTGCAATAGAGTATGGATGAGAACCAAATCCAGTGGAAAAGATCATTTGTTCTTCAAAAGTTCTCTTAATATTTCCAAAAAATATGCCAACATTATCTGTGCCATAATTACCGACAGCGATGTCTAAATAATTGTCGTTATTGAAATCGCCAGCTGCTAGTGAGGATGGAAGAGAGTCATAACCGGTTGAATACGTAATTGGTTTCGAAAACTTTCTGTTACCGCAACCATACAATATACTAATATTATGACTTCCAAAGTTGGCGGTGGCAATGTCAACTAGGGAGTCATTGTTGAAATCAACAGCAATAATAGCTATTGGACGAGATGAGCCTGTAGAAAACTCGATTTGATTTTCGAACGATCCGTTTCCGAACCCATAGAAAATACCAATATTATTAGTTTTGAAATTTGCCACTGCAATGTCCAAGTGATAGTCATTATTGAAATCATCCACTACGACCATGTAGGGACTAGAGTAGGGACCAGTTGCATATGTAGTGTGAGTTGCAAAAGCATCGTTCCCATCTCCCAAATAAACAACTATTTTGTTCACTAGGTGATTAGCAATAACCATATCAAGAAATGTATCACTGTTGAAATCGCCGATGGCAACAGATCGAGGACCATACTGATATTCAACCGGCTTTGGAATCGTCGGTTTGAATCGATGGCCACACTGTTGTACTAAACGATATATGACAAATAATTTGATAAATGATTTTTTACTTTACCAAGAGAAATTTCACAATTATCATTGTTCAGAAGAAATCGGCTTACTTCTAGTTATACAACAGACTTAGCCATTTAGAACACTTGTGTGCTCCTAAAGTATTACACGAAACCACAGAACTCTCTGCTCTACAAGGATTGTTGCCTTGTTTTGACTGGGACAGTATTTCTGTGCAACACGAGTGCTACGGGGCTAGATAACAACGCTCTATCTCGAACGGTGGACTCTATAGTTTTGATCATTACTGTAGTTTCTCATTTATGATAGAATTCGTTTGAAAAATATATTATTTCTGAGAGTGGACACGAGTGGATACATAGATCAAACTGCACTTTCCGTGCTACACTGTTGTGTTGTGTGAAGCTCTTGGTACTACCATATTCCACATTCATCATGAGCCATGACACAGTGACTGTACAAAGTTCACTGTGAATGCGCGGAAATGGATATCGATAAGATCGAGTGATTAGAGAACGGAAAGGAGAATCCACTGGTTAACAAGTGATGCGTAATCACCACAACATATAGCCGAACAAAACGAGAATGATCGCTTGAAGAATAATGAACTACGATTCCAGTGGGCAAATGTTCACCGGTAGTTTTTCGGTGACAAGTAGACATGTGTTTATCTCTTTGGTTGTCGCGCAGTCAATAATGATTGGCATCTATTGGTCTATTCAAATGTCAAGAGTGACAGATGCTCTCCTTACTTTTTCGTTACAGACTTCAGATATTCTATTTTACTGACTAATGAAGAAAACGAACATACCCGTCGGTTTTGGTATAGTGAAATAAACTGTCAGTACACCAATTGTCATTGCTATCGCTGTGAACAGAGCAAATGCACCCACAGCTGTTGAAGATCGATGTCTTGTCCAGCATGAATATTTTCTAACGGAAAGATTTTTAGATCATGATGACTGGGAGGAGAAAAAAAGACATACAAAGCTGTTGCAGTCATTGATGATTCCTTTATGTTCTTTGTAATAGCGTCAGATCTTGCTGAATCGGATGGCTTTTGTGTTGAGTCTTCATAATGGTCATTATCGGCATGAGGATGCTGCTCCACATGTGACTGTTCGTCTGACCCATCATTATTATCCACAGAAATTGCGTTCATTTGTAAGAGAAAAACAAGATCTGCTCAAAAAACAGTTTTCAGAACGTATTCATTTGGTCTCACAACCTTATTTTATGAATTTCCTTTTCTATTACGATTATATGTTTGCAATACAAATGAACTACGAGTTCTTGAAAAAAAATTTGTAAAAGAACAGATCAATTTGATTTTGTAATTCTAATCTAAAATCGTAAGTGTAAAAATATTCTTTATTTTTGCAAATATTGGAACAACGTTTAAGTGTCATCAAAACGTGAAAATGGACGGGTGTTATAAATATGTGCGTAGAAAATAACTCGAGTCGGCAGCACAGAGCAGCACATACTTCTAAAGAAGTTTGTCTGGCGTCCGAATGACTTGATTAATTGTATATATTTGTTAAAACATGTTTTCTCCCTTTTAACTCATTAGTTTCCATAGTTTTGCATGTCTTGTCGAGCGTTTTCTTCAACTACTTTCTATTTAGTTGTCAATAGCTTTGGTTTCTTTATCATTCCCACAGTTCCTAGAGAGGGTAATATAAAACAAAACAATGTTTTTGTGAGTGTGTATCAGGGTCAAAGTTCAAAAGTACATCAACCAGTCACGAGGATGTGACTGGCTGAAAGTGGATGAAACGCGGTGCGTGTGGATGGGCGATGATGACGATTTGTACAATAGGACAGGTGTGGGTAGAATAGAAGAGGTGTTCTTCTGACAAGAGAGAGGGTTCTATGAAAGATTAGGGTTTTGTATTTGGGAGGGCGTTTGTGTTGGGGTTGCGGCAAAGAAAAACATCGAGGCAAAAAGTCATTCTTGATGCTGTAATATCGACTCGTTCTCATGTCGCTCATTCTCGGAGTACATTCAGACATTGTAGTTTGATATTGTGAGACTAGCGATACTTTCCCGTATGGAGAGTAGTGAGGGTATCCCTGGGTGGTGATATACTGCGTAGTGGAGCTACTCTTGCGTATATTCATATGCTGGATCAGGGGGGGGGGGGGTGATACCCTCGAGTCCTCATGTGCTGAAGATACTTTGTTATGTAACAGTCGAGAGTTAAGTGAGTCGTACGACGAACGTTGCTTGTTATTTATAGAAGGATCATCGACTTATTTTTAGGAGATAGTTTTTGTTTTTATTAAGATGATGAGTAGTTTATATTACATGAGGCGTAGCCTAACGAAAATCAGAAGTATCTTCCTCTCACAAATGACATCAAGCTAATATTGCTCTGCAACTAGTTTTATCTCTGAATCGTTTTAGTGCCTAGTATTCCCGTGGTTAGTTTCTTTACTGACTTTTCTCAGTTATGTTCATTGATTTACTTCTAGGCAGTAAAGGGACTGAAAGAACTTTTGACGCTCCCTGAGTTTAGTACACCATGACAAGTTTCTTTCTCCATGGTCCCCTGGAATGTGTCTATAAAACACTAATTTACTTCCGACTAGCTTAGTACTTTCCACTACAGCTTGTGTAAGTATACCCATTTCTATGATGATAGCTTCATGATTTCACAAACAAGTGATATGACGCAGATCGCTTCATCAATGCATTTCTCAATCACGCACTTACTCGTTTTCAAAAGATGCGTTCTTTCCTTCACCTTAGAAAGCATTTCGCTATCCATAATCGAATCCGTCCTAGACGCAGCCGATTCCGAAACGATGTTTATCCATTTTGATCAATTTCGGTGGGTGCTATCCCGGAATCGAGTGGTTGGACGCGAATGACTTTAGCTACTAAATTGAAGTGATAGCCAGTCACGAAGAGATATTCATCCTTCGTCGTCTGATCAATTATACTTCTCTCAAAGGTATACGAATCTAGTCGCGAAAGACACCCTACCGACGAATAAGCAACACATGTTTGAACGACGTATAAAACATTACCTTTTGCCTTGATTCTTTACATGTTGCACAATAAGTATTACACTTATACACCAAAATTAATGCCTGCCTATCGACACAGTTGGTCGAGCACTGAGGCATGCTTTCATCCTTTCAGTCGTTTATATTTCATCCTCTTCTTTTCATTATCTATGTATCTATTTTTCTTTGTTCGTTTATGATTTGAGCAAATACGGACGAGATGAAAACGAGAAAACAGAAACTAAGAGTAAACGAAAATATAACAGAATTACAAAGAAAATGTCGTATCTGTCGTCGTCCATAATTGCGCTTGGCTACACAGGTAATTGTATGCATAATCTGAGTGATTGCACAAACTGTTTGGTTGACGTTTTTCGTGTCGGTAAACACAAATCTGATACAAAAAAAATATCGCGTCATACAACAACCTCATCTGCACTTCAGACACTTTTCATGAACGAGAATTCATTGCGTGCAGAGAAATTGCATGCCGAATGTCGTACGATGGCGCACATACACACATGGAAGACAGATAAAGATCAAAGAAAACTTTTTTTCTATCGGTTTTTCATGAATAAAAATGTCATCATTCGACTCAGAATCAAATTCGGCGTTGAATAGACTCGTTTTTATCTATACTAATTTGTTTTCACAAAATTCTTAGTTTCGTGATGCTGGCTTCACACTGATTCTCGTTCCTAGTTTTGCTAAATTAGCGCTAGGGGTCAACGAGATAAACAACAATTGAGAATTTTTGTTTTTTTTTCTTAGGACTTTTCTTTATTTATAAATAATGCTGTAGTTTCATTTACTTTTCATTCATCGCATGAAAACTTTTCATTATATTCATTTAAAAAGTTTACCGTTTCACAACAATTGATTTGTATCGTTATTTATCAAGTGATATATGATCTCATTCAACTGATAAATATATTCATTGTCATCCACGCAAAGATCTTTTCCTTGACAAATTCATCTTAAATATTGAAATGGAAATTTTTTTTATAAGTATCCAGAAGCATCACATCACGCATTTGTAAAAAATACAATTCAAGATCTTCCAGTTGATCAATAAAAAGAACAAACGAGAAAATCAATTGAATAGGTTTTAATAAACCCTTGTAAAAAAATACAAGACAAAAGTAAAATAGAAGGAAGATTTACTTTTTCTACTTCATTATACTTCTTTTTATCGAGAAGACATTCAATTAATTGAATCGGTAAAATTATCAAACATTCACGAATGAGAGAAGGTAATCAGTTTTTCTTAACGAATTCGACATCAAATATCGTTTAATGTATGAGAGTCATCGAGAATATTTTTTATTATGTGAATAAATTCAGAGAAAATGATCACATTTAAAGTGAATCAATCAGAGTGTTTTCATAAAAGTTAAGCAACTAAAACAATGATAAGATAGAAAAAAATTCTCCTGTTTCTACATTTTTGGTTTTTGCTTTATTATTCTCATCGAGTTTATCTTTTTTTCAACCTTGCATTGGTGCATTTTTAAGTGCATCGTTCTATTCTTGAAATTGAACAGCACCATCTTTATTTGGTCACACTATTATCATTTGTATCAGAACGGTCAAATAATGCTGTAAAATCTTCGGTTCCATTTAAAACACCTTCGCCTGCTACAAAGTGAATGGCGTCTTCGTCCTCTGCTACAACCACCGTCACAATTGCAGCAGAAAATATTACACAGCCCTCTTCCATTGAAATCAGTACTCACTCGGCTCGTATCATCACCACAGCATTTATCGGTAATTTGTTCAACATTTAAAAATATTAAAACTGTTGAACATAATGCGAAAAAGCATAAACTTTTAAAATAGACAGCCATTGTATATATTTTATCTAGAATGCAACATACATGTCATACTTGAAATTGGAGTTTTCGTATTCCACTATTATTCTAGTTATTCAATTATTTAATTGTTCAATTAATCATTCGTATGAATATCGAGAGACGATGAAAAGGAGAACTCTATGACGCATTACAAAACTGAGGATGTCACGAAGGGTATGGAGAGCGTATCACATGATAGAAAGTTAGCGAAGAGAGTCAGTTCTTTTGTAAGCATGACGGGTATTGTGTGTGTCGAATTGGGTCCACCACTAATTGACTGAGAACTTAAACTATCGAAGTAAAATAGTCAAATAACTACATAACTGAACACCTGAATATTTATATGGCTGAATAATTGAGAACCTTGAATATTTCGATCGATAAATAATCTGGAATGTGAATATTCGAATAAATGAATAACGGAAGTAATAGTTGGCTATATGAATTCAACTTTCGAGTTTGATTCTCATCAGCGACGTCTACCGCGGCACTGCTGCTGCCGCTGTGATGGTCGTGGTAGCGGCAGTTTATCAAAAAAGTTATTTTAAAAAACCACTAATGTACATAAAATTTTCACGTCGATGTGTGATAGGCTGTAAGATTTGATGAATCTGATCGATTAATAGTAACAACAATTGTTTAAGCCGCTCACAGTCCAGGACTGCCAACCGCACCCTATTTGGAACTTTTCACTTGATACGATTAACTACTGTTTTTGGATAAAAACATGCTATATTTGTTAGTAGTGTTTTGTTATCTTATAAAAACATCTGCAGAAAAATGCCGACAAAAGAACCACCTAGCAGATGTTAAAATTCCTGATACTTAACTTATGAACCATTTGTTTTTTCATACTATTTGTAGTATGAATATTCAAATGAATTTGAATAAATTTCTTTTCTAATCTTGTTTTTCATTGTTTCGATACTTTTCTTACTATGTGTGCCCATGCGTATTGCCTGAAAAACTAATATTGTTTTGGGTTATCTTTTCGTTGATTTCCATGATGGTAATGGTTTTCATTTCGTCGTACGGATTTAACTCTTCCACAAGCGACGGCACAAAATATGTACCACGTTTTGTTTCCGCATGTGGAGAGATGATAAAATAGGATCAATGACTACAACAGAAAGAACGATGATGCGGTACAAACGAAACTAATGTCTGGATAACCGAGTTCAAGCGGCAGTTGTTTATCTGATTCTGCGACTAAAAAGTTCGAAGAAGATTGTCACCAATTCTCACTGTCGAAAAAGACACCTGATCGTCTAAAACTGGTCTATGAAAGAGTGAAACAACGATAGAAACACTGACATACTGTGTTGTTTCCGATAAAGACGTTTAATTTTATCGATTTTCGTGATAAGTCCTCTATTTCGGGCCGAACAAATGTGTCCCACTATTAAACAGAACGTACTCAAACTGTACCATATTTAGACCTTCATAAACTCCATTTGAAAAATGTGAGTTGTCAGTCCTGATTATATTAGACTGCACCAAAACATTACGACAAGATATCGAATTTGATTTTGGAAATGTGTTGGTATCTGACGATCATGTGAAACATAATAAATAATGCCTGAAACACCGACTTCAAGTGCTTTTTCCTCACTAAAGATGACGTTCTGCCATTGACTTGATATCTATGTCAAACAGAAATTCAATCGTTGTTGAGCATGTATTGTATTAATTAATGGTTCGGTTCGTGTATGAACTGAGCTAAAAGCTAACATTCGACAGTAACATCGGAGAGTTCGAGCAGAGATCAGATGATTAGTATCTCGAAAAAAGCTATTAACAATTTTAGTTGACCTTTCACTGGAATAACGACACAAAATTTGCTTTAATATATGAATTTCATCATTATTCAGCACCATATTACGATCCTGTCTACTTCGTTCAATAACATTATAGGTCTCTTGAAATACTTTTTTTTTTGGATCTTTACTACTTTTGTTTAATTCAAGACGTAAATGTTTCACATTTGTATTGGAATGTGAGTAAAGAGATAAATCTTCCTATTCTACAGTGAGTTGTAAAAGACGAGGTGACATTTGAAGTATTTGATCAATAATGTAAGCACGTTCCGATCGCTTGATTACCTTAGGTTGAAAGTCAAAAACCACCGAACGTAACCATGGAAAACGCAAAAAAGACCATGTTGAAAAAGATTGATTGTTTTGGAGAAATTTCTAAAAGAAAAAACAAAGTATTAAAGATGTGTGTTATATGTCACATATTTATATGTTAATCTCACAACAATCATCCGCCATCAATTCATATGCATATACTAACTTTCATTTCACAGAATTGTAGAACAAGTGTATCTACATATCCAGTAGTCAGTTTACTGAAGGTATCGGTGAACTGAGTAACACTATGTATCTCATTACACTTCCATCCAATTCGATCTCGATTGATTTGCATTGAATGCTGTGCAAATGAATGATTGTAAATTATACATGTATATTGTAGTAATATATCCAATGGTAAAGTGTAGAGAAGAATGACTCTTGTCTTTTTTTTATAAATACCGTAACAAGGAAGATCTTGTTCTTCTGTGTGATAATCGAGGTTATTGAAGGGCCATGTGATATCAAATCTATTGGCAATACTCTGTTGAAATTCTTCATGAAGATGCTCAGGAAAGCGAAGAAGAAAGTGAAATTGTGTCAAACAAGGTAAATATTTTCGATTGATAATCTGACGAAACTCTTCGTAATGTTCAAGTGCTGCAATAAGGATAGATTTTAGTATAAAACATAGTAGTAGATTGTTTTTGACTTACTTTCATCAAATATTTCAACAAGTATTAATTTCTCCACCAAAGGCATATTGAGAGAACGGATTAGAATTGTTACATTATGAAGAGCCACATGACGTAGAATAAGAGTTTGAAGTCAACTTGTATCAGTCATTTGACGAATATCTTTTTCACAAAATTCAATTTGAGGTTGTGGATGTTTCGAATATGGTTCTTTGATACATTTTTCATGTTGAATGGTTATATACAAATATTGAAGAACAAATATAATTTCAAATGGAAATTGGACGGTCAAAGTCAATTGTACAGTAAGTGGCCAATGAAGATTTTCCAGTTCGGGTAACGAGAGCCATTATTGTTGTTTTCATTATGACAATCTTAATAGATAAATTCACAAAATACTAATAAAAGCTCTTCGTATACAAACCTCTCTCTATTTCGAATATCATCGTATGAAAAGAAATTTGTCTTTTTATCAGACGATTAACAAAATACATGTAATCGGAACCAGAACAGTTAACGGAAAATATCAAATGAAGATATTTTAATGAGTTACCAATGGATAAAGGTACGAGTAAACCATCAATAAAACCATATTGATAATTTTCGATTTTCTTCACAATCAATTGTTCGAGTTTCGATGTTGTAATCATCGAAGAATTTCTTTTCCAATAAGCATAAAAAGCAAAACAAGAATCTGAATTGTTGAGAATAATTTTTCGTAAAAGAAGAAGATAATTTAGGGTGAGAAGGATCTGTTGAAGTCGATTATTATTAATATGAAAAAAGGCATTGAATAGATCAAAAGATGATAAATAATTGAATATGTACAAATATAATTCATTTGGGAGCGATTCGAATTTCCAAATATTCATCACACTGTCGACTATTTCGAAAGGTATTGACATTTTGTTTATATATAAGTCATTATGAAAAATACTCCAATCATATTCATATTCATATTCTATCAATGTGTCGGAATGATAATTTGAATGTTTTTCTATTCGTCAAAATGAAACGATCATCTTTCAAGAAGGAATTGATACTTTTTTTGTTCAATATTTTGCTTTCATTGCACATTTGTACAAAATTCTGATGAGCGATAAATTATGCTTCATCTTTTTGATAATTCAAAACAGATTCATACGAAACTATCATCGTTGACGTTTGTTTCCAACGAAAATACATTCAATATGCATTTACTTATTCGGACGGAGAATAAAATGAAAACGACAACTTGCGTCACATCTGGAAGTGTTAGCCTATCATCATCTGCTATCGTCAACTTATTTATTTTTTTCTGCCTGAATGTTCTTCATCTTTATAATCTCATCGTACTATAATTGAACTTAATGAATTATACCTGAATACGTAATTACAATGAAACAAATCAATGGTAAACGTTTGAAATCTTCGATAAAAAACATTTCGTTTTCATGATCTCCAAATTCTGTTAATCAATGGTAAATACAATCTACGAGAAACAATGCGAAGGTTTCTGAAGGAAATGATTTATCAAAAAAACATTAGAATTCTACATGACTTTTTTGGTTTTCGATTACGCAAATTTTTATTAACAAACAGTTCGGAACGTTGCAGTGAATATTTTTCGATGGTGCAAAAGCTTCTATTGGCATTCTTTTATTAGGTGAAAATGTTTTATCAGGAAAATCAATTCATTAGATTCATTATGTTTTTAATATCGTGTCCAACGAGAATGTATTGTATGGGTTTATTGAAAGATATTCATGTTTAACATCAGATCTCTGCAAAAATCTAATGAAGTTCTGCATTGATTTGTTGCAGTGTTTCATCATCGACACCTAATGATTTAAGATATTGAATAAATAATGAAAATTGATCAGTCAAAAACTTCCAATTAAGACCTAAAAGATCGCAGAAAGAATTCCATACACGTTTGAACAAATGCATATTAGGTTCTAATGAACGTGGAGTGTCTAACATATGCTGACAAATCGATTCCCATAGATTTTCCTTAGTTTCTTCTCGCAATGGTTGAAGTAATTGACCGAATCGACCACCATCTTGAGCTGTACCACAAACAATATCCGAAAAATGATATGATTGAAGAGCGTCTTTATTTTCATTATTTAAAATCCAAGAATTCATTGGTTCATCGGCTTCACAATGACCAACAAAAAGAATTGATGGTGTTTGATTGTTTAGTAAAGTTTTGGAAAATAACATATGATTTTTTTCAAATGAATCGGTTAATCGTCCTTTTGGCATAACAAAAAGAACACAACTAAAACCACGTTTATTTCCTTTAATAAATTTAATTAACATTTTCATTGCTTGTTTTGCTGTTACAGTTCCATTTGCACCCTCATTTAAACCAACTGTATCAATTAATTCATAAATTTCACCTTGATGTTCCACTTGATAAGTATTAAAGTCGAATGTACATCCTTTCGCACTATCACTTACATTTGCCACCTTTTTCCCAGCTAAAAGATTAATTAAACTACTTTTGCCAGCACCTGTTTGACCGATAACAAGAACACGATTAACACTTCCTTTCGTTTCGAGTTGTTTTAAAAGTATATTAATATTATTCGTATTCTTCAAATATGCATTTAGAATACTCTCTCTATCTGTTTCGTTTTCCATATTGAGCTCGGGAGCAATCGCTCGTAGAAATTCGACGGATTTTGCACCCCACATGATGAGACTAGGAATATTTGCCATTGTTTAATGCTTAATCAGTTTTTCGTCTATTTTAAAAGAAAATGAGAACTATAAAAAATTTAATAAAAAGAGATAAAAAACTGAATCTTACTTTGATCTCGAACCCAAGAAGTTATGAAATCTGTCATGAGCATAGTTCATTATTTATACTTTCCTCTTTATCAAAGGTTGGTTTTTTCCAACATGTCACCAGTTACACTAAGATAAACAATAACACGTCGTCTGCGAACGATGATAATTAGATTTTTCCTTTTGCATCACTTAACCAACGATAAAAAATATTTTTATTGTGAAACTTCAATCCGAGCGTGCCTTCAATCCTCTTCCATTCTTTGATCAATATTGACTTAACATATAAATAACAAACGAATCAGGTAAAAAAAAACTCCGATAAAGGGTGGATATGACGAAGGTGGAAGAAACTAACTATACATAACGAATGCGACAATGTGAGAAAGCTTTAGCAGAGAACGTATACATAACATGTTGGAAAACATTCAATAGATTAGGATTGGATATTATTCCTATAGTATATACACATGTAGCCTGGATAGTTCTAACTGAACATTATCTGTCTATGTATAAGTGATCGAAGAATTTTATTCGTCTGATAATTTTCAGCAAAGAATTTATCTCAATGGAACAATTGACTCAATTTGGTTTGTTCTAACGTTTTTCCAAAGGATGAAAGAACGAAGACTTCTGATGTTCACTATAGTGATACAAATATGTTGATATTTTCCACATGATTCAAAAAACAGATTTTAATGAAAAATTCAACAACAATGTTGTAGTTATTTCGAGAATAATTGATCATTATGAGAATCCAACATTTGCTTATTGATCTATTAGAAAAATTGTTCGCTTTTGTCGTGAACAATGTAATTCTTAATCAGTTGAATAACAAAAGAAAGTGAATGAAATATCCTTGGATTAATCTTTGTCCTTTAGTTTTGTCTCTTTTGTCTTTTTAGATAAGAATCATCGTTGTTACGGTTGACTTCGAAGGTAAATGTTCTCGAAGGTTTTAAACGACTAAAAGTCAATTGGATATTATTTCTTTTCATTTATAATGAATAACGAAAAATTTCTTAATCAATTGGATCATGCAAATACAAATCATCAGGGAACATTTGATCAACAAAATGTTCAACAGTTGAAAGTAACAATTGATGAAAAGATTTTCCTCTCAATGAAATTCTTCTTTTTCATTTGAAGTCAACAGATGAAGGTGAAATTGTTCGATATTCAATTGGTCTTGATATTGCTGTTGCTGGTTTTACATCAAATCCGATTGTGTATGAAAAATATACAAGTGGAATTCTTACTGAAGAAGATCATCGTTATAGTCTTGGTCCTGATGTTGCCATTGGAGCACCAAATGTTGCAAAAAATTCGAATCAATATGATCCTGCAGCAGCAATGTTTGATTATGCAGATCTCAATCATGATGGAAGAATTGATAAAACTGAATTTGGTGCTTTTATGAAATCTGTTTAAAATTTATTAAATTTATCTAAAGGAAAAAGACTCGCTTTTCTAGGAAAATTCTATTTGAATGAATCAAATAAGTTCAAAGATTTTAGTTAATATTGAAATCAATTATTTTTTGAGGAAATAATTTCTACGTCGTGTAATAAATCTGATTATTTTCATTATGATTTATTTCCAGATTAGAAATAATACAATTTTCGTATTTTATTTCGATTCTGGGAAAAAAGTGTTTTACATAGAAAACATAAAAAAACCAATAACTATCTCCAACTCAGGTGAAATATTTCAACTTAATCAAACTTTCCTTTGGAAAGTGATCAAATAAATAGACGAAGATACGAATAAAAGAAAAGAATTTGAATAAATAAATAAATGAAAACTTGTCTTTTTACCTAAGATTTCTTTGATAACATTTTGTTATTTGATTCATATCATCCTTTAAAAGATATTTTTTATACCAAAAATATGATTTCGAACATATTCATTCCAATCAAGATGAGAAATATCAATATTAAACAACTAATTACAAAAACAAATTCAATAATTATCTTTTTTTATCGAATAGAAAACAATTTCTTTACTTGACGATCAATTTCATTGGTACTAATTATATCGTATAATTTTTCACTGTTTCCACATGCAAATGTCCAATTATTATTTGAAAAATATTCCAGAACTTGAAGAGATTTTGTTAATTTCTCGAGAGGCGAACAAAACTCAAAATAAAGAAAATTTTTCAATTTAAAAAGAAATTCTTGAAAAAAATGTCGAATTTTATAAAAAAAATCTATTGAAAAAAGAAAATCCTCGTCGAAATTATAGATCAAATCTAAAGTTCAACTTACTTATTTGAAACAAAAGTAAAATGAGGCCATCGTAAAGATTTTTCATAAGCAATATCAACTAGAAGAAAGATATGAATATAAGAAAAAGAAATGATTATTTCAATGAATATACTGAGTTGTTGACTTGAAAGAGATTTTAGACTAGTTCGTTGATCAGCTGCACAACAATGAACAATTGATAACATCTTTTCTTCTTGTCTTAAACATTGATTGGTTGATGTTTGGGTTGCGATATACCATGAAAGGATTATCATCATATTAATAACAATATCAACTGGAATACAATTTGGTTCAATTCTTGGATTTGCATTGATTACTTGAACTAATAGGTGAATTCAAGTTTCAAGTGTAACACTTATGTAAAAAACGGGAGTACATGCCATGTCTATCATTATGAATCGATATCGTAACTGTATCGAAGAAAAAATATAACTTATTCCACGAAATAGAAAGTTGCCAGCTGGACAGAGTAAGTTCTGCTGTTTGTATGATGCCAATTCATGTGATATTGTTATAGATTTCGAGTTGATCATTGTTTATCATTTATTACCTGTGGTGTATCAACTGGCCGTTTTGATTTTGTGAGTGTAGCCGAGTCTAGTCTTTGACTAGCAATACGATTCCCCTTATTGGGAAAGCATGAGTAGCTCTTACGGGCTACAATACGATTGATCGATTTGACAAATGATATACTGTGTGGGTTTACACATTTGTAAGAGAACGACTAGAACTATATCGCTTAGATCAGTCAAATAGACGTTCATGTATACATTTCATTGTGAGATGCATGAGTATCGAAATTTCGACACACCATTAGAGAATAAACAAAAACGATAAGTGGAAAAAGAACTCTCAGCTACAGAAGTCGTTTCAGTAACTCAAATCAGGCAACTACTGAGAAAACAAACAGATTAGAGTGTGCAACGTAAAGGATAGTAAATTTCGTTGAGAAAAATCCATAATTGAGAGACAATCTTGAGCACAAGAAAATCAGTCGCTACTGACGCTTAGAACAATAGAAGAATAAATAGCATGAGATTGAGCAGAAAAAAGAAAATAAACAAAGTTGAACAGACGTCAGCAATGGAGCATGAGAATGGCTCATACAGCATCATTATTTATCAATATGGTCACTCAATGAGTGAAATCGAATCACTGTTCTCGATGACGTCATTGCGTCTCAGGATGATACGAATAAGCCAATGTCGATTACAACCGCAGTTTCGGCATCCACTATGATTCAATACAATGTGTAATAAAATCATATGTGATTGAAAAGGAAAGTATTGTTTCAGATGATGATAGAATCATGTTTGAGATAAATGTGTGAAAATTCACACAGAGTATTGAAGTTCGACTGTCAAACAAATTAGCTCTATGATCTGAAGAATACGAGATGCGCCCTTAAAACTTACCTTTTATGTGCTAGGTGATGAAATATCAACGCGTTTTGTACACAAACAAGTTTTCTTCCGAATTAAAATCGATATTACGCATCGTATCCTACGACAAACGACGATCTTTGAAAGGAAATGTTTATTATGTTGGCTTCGCATCCGATGCTGACATGGCATATGCTGATCGAATTTGCAAACGACATCAGAATGTCACGATCAAGCCTTTTGAATCGCGTTCTCCTCGTGGAGTTGAATATCAACGTCGAACTGAACGATGCAAGCAAGCAGAGACACATTCTTCAGTACCATCTGTCTTTTCTCCATCATCGTCAACGAATGTTGCTTCTATTTCTGCTTGCGTACAAATTCTTGATTCGACGAAAAATACTAGTCTACGGACACCCGATGTTCCAATATCGAATGTGGTGAGTCATTATGAAATAAACGATGATGAACTTTTTCTGTATTTAATCGCTGTGAAGAACAAAGAGCAACTTCTAAACGATGTTCAATCGTGTCTGAATGCCGTCAAAATAGCTCAGCGGGCAGCTGATGATATTTCTCAACGTTTCAGTGAGTATATGTTAATGGAATACAAGTATAAAAGACGACAAAAACAACTCTTGTTATCAATTTTAGAAAATGGCAAGAATTGTGATGTGATTTTGAATCATTTATTGCAAGTGCATTCAACTGCATTTTATTTGAAAGCAACTACATCTTTTCAGTTAAAAGATCTTTTATCAACTGGTATGAAATTGTCATGGCCCGATCTTGCCAGTAACATCAATGAATTCAGATTAGCTGTTGGTCATGAACGATCATTTGTGACTGAAATGGCATCTGCCACTCGCATCTTATCGAAAATGGATAATGAGACATCAATTACGATGTCGTCAAAATTAGCATATCAATTGACAAAATTATCCCATTAACATTTGTATAGCTTTTCTTCTTTAGTACATGTCATTATTCTCAAATAGTTTTCTTTATCTTCATTGCATTGAAGTTTATTACAGACGTTCGAAAATGAACAATTTTTGTCTTTCATTCAAAAAAACTTACTTGATGAAAAAAACAACACAGAAGAGAAGCAGACTCCAGTGTGTTGTATGATGACATGAGCGTAGTACATAATGCACAGCTGATTAACAGATGACCTCGTGTATGGTGAGAAAAAGAAAGCGAACGACAAAATGAAAGAATTGACCGTTCTGTGTGATAGTCGAGCACGATTATATTCACACATACTTGTTTGATTGAGGGAGAGAAAGGAAACAAATACAATCAGTGGCATAAGATGAAACGAAAATGAATCGGAGCCTATCTTTTGAAGAAAAGAAAGCTAAGAGATTGAATGCCAATTCTGCAATAGTTAACCGTAAAAAAAACTAAATTCAAATCAATTATATGAAAGCTTTTAATTTATGCGATAATACAGGAAATAATAGACGTTTTTAGTGTTCATTTAGTGCTTCACCTTTATTTCAATTTAGAGTATGCATCTCTTTGTTCACATCATTTCAATGATCACAATAGTCAATTCAATGGATTTCAATATAGTTCACATATCTGATGGCTCTATACTCAATAAGCTTTCCTGTGAACCATTTCTCGATAGCTGTAATGATGAAGCAGATGCGAATTGTAATGGTGATTCGTATGATGAATTCCCACATGCTGATTCATCAATATCAGTCATTTCGAAAAGAACTGACCATCATTCACATAATACATTGATATATTTGCAAATATGTTCCTGATACAAAAAGATATAAAATAAATATATGTAATTAAATTATTTCGACCAAAGAGATTTTTATCAAACAAATTTCTTCACATGAATTTCACAGACATCTGCTATAGTTCGTTCTCAATGCATGAAAGTCATTTATTAGGACTCTTCCTAAGTATTTCCACTCTTTCTAGATCATTCATATCGATTTACCGAAGAATTTTTACTCGTTCAAGAAAAATGAAAACAACAACAAAATTTATTACAATGTTCAACGCAGCATCAGGTTCCGCATCATCAAATACTGGCACAAAACGATGAGCTGCTGATGATTCGGACGAGGAAACAAAAAAGATGAAGAGAGAAACACCTACGTTGGAAAGAAAATCTTCGCGGCATTCTACTGCGAACAATGCTCCAGCAAATTTTGTTAGTGCAGTAACATTGAAGAATGTACCTATTCCAGAAATCAGCGATGAAGAACTGTTAGCATTTACGCTCGAATACGAACGTCAACACGGTATCAATTGATATATTGAACAGTTATCTGAAAAGAATAAACATTGTTTTCTTTTTGTTCCTTTGTGCATGCTCATTCTTTTATAGTTTTTTTCTGTATCTCAGCATTTCGATGAAAAAGCATGTTGTTAATCACACTGATATAGTTAAAATATCATATAATCAAGAATAATAGTGTTCTTAGTAGTACATTCGTTTTTATTGTTTTAACTTTTAGATCAAATTCATCGTGACAAGTATTCTTTTTCTTTTCTGACAGAAAGGTGTTAATTGTTACTGATTGATCATCTGCTTGAGCAAACATCACCAGTAAGATGTTGTCGACAGACATTGTTACAATATCAATCAGGATCATCGCTTTACTTTTCTAGATACACATACCAAAAGAAATCAACTATTTCAAGCAAAACGACAACGGATCACATAGAAGAAAATCAAGCTGATACGCCAATGTTTATTTTCAATCTATCGTCGCTCGATTATGATGATGAAGAGTTTCGAGCTGGATATCCATTTGATTTAGATAAATTAGAGGACCAGGACGGTTGAAAATATACAATCGAAAAACAGAAATTATGATTAGTTGCTCTTCTCATTTAGAATTACCGGAAGAAAAATCAACACAAGATGACTTGTCATCAACAAATGATGATGACAACGATCTTGATCAGGTAGCTGCTTTACTGAATAGTAAATAGTATTGAGCCTAGATAGGCTTGTTTTCTTACACCTATTATCATGTTTAGTAGATGACTACAACAAAGAAAAAAAGAATGGTCAGGAAAAAAAGCAATGCGCGGCCTGTAAACAAGTAAGAAATTGATTTTGTTATTTTAAATGTCCAACTGTCATTGTGTAATATGAATCGAAGGAAGTTGAGAAAAAGTCATCGAAAAATTGCTTTTTTTAGTTTCTTCTTTTCATTATTGTCATTTTATTAACCATATTTTACGCATGTACTAACATAGTATAGCACATATCCTCGAAAAATCGAGCTAGAACATCTCTCTTTCGTTCCAATGAAATATAAACAATATGTGAATAAATGTATCCTGTCTGCCAAAGATGTAGTTCAAAAGATAATAAGATGATCATAATTGATTTCACAACAACTCAAAGAGAAATATACAATATGTGAAGCAATATAGTAATTCTATGTGTTGTAGTCTGAAGAAGTTCACGTACATGAGTCAGACATGTTTATTTGTTCTGATATGCACATATATAAAGAGAGAGAAAAGAACTCAATTACTTCATTCTTCGTAGCTTGCCAATCTTTTTTACATTTTCATCAGTTCCTTTCGCCAATAGAGTGAAGATTTTCAAAAATAGTTCAAAAGTAATGGCTGGTAATAACAACCACATGCAAGGGTACATCAATAAGGTGATTGCAAACAATTCCGAACAACATGGTGTACCTTCGGACGAAAATCGATATCATATGGTGCCTATGCGAGTGGCCGATGTTGATGATGGTCATGGAAGTACGGGTGCTCTTTGCCTGATCGGATTTTGGAATGGTCAAGCAATCTACAGAACTACTCATACAGTAGCTCATCGTAAGAAAAATATCTGTACCCGAGCAATTTCAATCTTTCTGTATAGACATGGAAGGCAATCAGCTTGGTGAATATGAAATACACTGGTCGCCAGTATTTTCCGGCGTCCGGGTACCGGAATGCGAAGTTCTTCAAATCGACATCAGCATTCGTGACTGGATATTTGGAAAATTCTAATGAAATGTATGCACAGGAGTGTATTTAATTCATTATAGTTCACATCGGTCATATCACCTCCAACGGCTGATAACGATGATGACCTTGATGGCATAGAAGAACAGGACGAATACGACGACGACGATGATGATGACTGCTATCACGTATACGGCTATGAAGATGACGAAGATAATGATATTGATGAGCAATTTGACTTAATTGATCTTCTCGAAGAACAAGAAGAAATTGAATCAACATTATTCTACCTCAATTCAGTAGATCTTGAATGGGGCACTGTAGATGCTGATGATCATCATTAGATTTTCATCCAAGTCTTTCAAACAATATTTCTTCCTTTTCTTTTCTTTTAACAGTAGTCTTGAATTTAGAAATTTCATTAATTCATGCATGCATTGACCTGTAGTACTTGTCTTCGTTTTCGAAAAGTTCGAATAAAATATAAACAATCACCTAGTGAACTTAGCTGTCTGTCAAACAGATGTTATTCAAAGGATAAGCTCAAAACTGACAATTACATTTCAAACTAAACATCCTGACAATTGAAAGAAAAACATTGTAAACGGATAAACTCTCTACTTCCCATACACTGTGCGAACTCATTCATGCCAATCTAAACTGTTTATTTATTCTGATACGAGAAGGAAAGCACGGATAATTAGGTGCAAGAGAGACGAATCTATAAAGAGAGAGAGAGAGAGAGAGAGAAAAGCTTCACTCTTTCTCACCATTGGCACTTCTTTCAACAAAATCTTCACATGTCGCACTCTACACAGCAATTATTATGGCTTATAGTCCCGAGTACATCAACAGCATGAAGAACAGCAATCAACTTTACTTTGGCCACCTCAAAAGTAAAGCAGCCGAGTCGGTAGCACCACCGGTGTGGCTGGCTAACTTTAGTAATGACCGGGGCGGAGTTGGTCCCGTTTATCTGATTGGTCGCTACGGTAAACAACCAGTCTATCGAACCAGTAATGCTGTTGCTAGTTGTAAGAAAAAACGTTGAGAGTAAAAACCTGGTAGACTATACTATCATTTATAGACTTAAAAAATCAACAGCCTATTTCAATGCTGTTTCACTTATACGAATTATTCTAGCTTTGTTTTTTTCTTTTTTGTTAAAATGAAAAATTTCAATAAATGTATGTGAGTTAAAAGTAAATTACAGTCAACTTTGCTTCCACAAATATCGAAGAAGAGAAGATAGCAGAATTATTTCACAGCACTCTGATTTCAAAAATCATTTTACAATAAAGAGAGGATTTCTCTGTTCAACGCTATACAATGCACTGTGTACACATAAAAGAGAAATACTTCTAAGAAAAACTGCAATCTTTTTTTCTACCGATGATGCACATAATTTAATCAGACGTTCATTCGGTGTTACATTATGCTTTCCTCATATTAAAACATAAATTCGATGAAGATCTAACTTGAAAAGAAATCAAATCAATCAAAATATCTATTTAATAGAATTTTCTAGATACTTGGACACGATCGAATTAATTTTTCTAATAAACATTTTCCTACAAATCCAGTTGCAGCAGTCACAAAAATTGTTTCGTTTTTAAAGAAATTTGCAATTGTACTTGTACAAGCATTTTCAATCGATTCATCGAAACGTGGAGCCATTTGAGTTGTTATTAAACCAATTTCATATGATCAAACATTAATTTGTATACGACATTTATATAGATACAGAAAAAGAGATGAATTTCAATGTGTTATTCATGGAGTTTTACAATATTGTTCCTTTTCTCTTCACTGAAGTGGGAAAGGAAATGAGAAATGCATCGAAACCATTGTGATAGAACATATGATCATCGAAGTTTCTCTTCCTTTTCGAAATTATCTACTAAATTATTCACTGATTCATATTGTCTGGACAAAATTTATCGAAAAGATATTTGAAGAAAAGAACGAAAAAAACTTGATGAGTATAAAAGATGATTTCTTTTCTTTGGAATCATACGTAGAATTTCTGTTGATATTATTATGTTGACCGTATGTAATATTTCATTTGTATCAATGTTAAAAATGATTCATTTCAACAAGACAAAAAATTTGATTTGGCAAAAATGTTTTATCTCGACATTACGTTTATTAACATTAATTATTTTATATACAATGATTTGTACAATCGCTTTTATTGAATTCCATAGAGATCATCGACCAATGAATCGAACATTTTCTATGATTGATTTTGGTTTCAAAATGACACAAAAACTTCATGATTATTTAGAAAATCATCGGATTCTTGATCATTGATTGGCTTTTCTTAATACAATTGTGTTGATTTTCTTTTAATCTATACAATATTTGTTATTGTAGAAGCATTTCTATTTCTTTTTGGACTTTTTTGTGGATTATCAACACAATTATCTTATTCAAATGAATATCTTTCAAATGAACATGATTTTTCTGATTGTTTAACAAATTAATTCGGTCATTCAACAAAATTTCTTAATCAACGAGAACATGCGAGTTTCTTCTTTGCTACACATTTTTATCGTTCTAATCAACGACAATCTTCCTATTTTTGTCATTTATTCAATATATTACAAATGATTCGATTATTATAGCAACAAGAGGTCATTACACAGTTGATTTTATTGGTGAAATTCTCATTGGATCTTATGCATATTCGTTTGTAGATTGTGTTGATAAAGTTTTGTCAACATATGAATTTATTCAATATTTAGTTCGTTCAGATAAAGAGAAAAAATTTTAAGAATTTTCTTTTGTTTATTCGAGAAATTTTGAAGTTTAGTTGTAAATAAATTGAATTTATGTTTCATTTGATAGGAAAATTTTACATTTTGATATTGTTGAATATAATGTTTTCAAAATTCGTTCGATCTGAAACTGAATGTAATCGAAAACGTTAACATTCAGAACCTTCGACATTACTTTTGGATTGATCAAAGTACATTGATATTTTCATTTGGAATTACTTAGTCAGAAAAAACCAAAATATGTCTCCACTCATTTTTCTTTTCTTATGATTGAACTGTTTCTAAACAGATCGAGAAATATCCTGAAATAGAAAGAAATCTCACTGTCATATCTATTGAATGTCTGTTAATTATGCTGTTCGTATAATATTTTCATAAAGAAATTGTTATCATTGATGAACATCAAATGATACACTTCATTGTTTTCCCCATAAAATATCAAAAAGATATTTAAAAGAAAAAAGGAGTTTTTTACTTATGAAATTCACTTCAGTCATGAATAAAGATTTATTTATTGAGAAAAAAATATTTAATTGGTTTAATTGAGGCAAAAAAGTGTTGGTTTTTCTAATAAATGACTAGTAATTTTGAGTAAAATCAAAGTGAATTCAGATTTAATTGTGAACCAATTCAGCTTCTTCGCAAATCGCTTTCATTTGTTGAATAGCAGTTTGTAATTTATTATGTGAAATTTCTTTGTCATGTTCTGATTCGAATTGATTTGAATCTTTAAGTTTCCAATTGATTTCAAATTCTAATTCTGAATGATAAATTTCATTCGTTGTTCTACAAATATTAATTGTTTCTCCTTCAAATGATGGATGATCAACTAATCGATAGACAATAATTCCACTTGATTTATCATAAACAATTAATTCTTTTAATTCCTGCCATGTTGAATCGTGAAATCGAACAATTCTTAAAACATGATCAGGTTCATTTTCTACAATTTCAACACTTCGAATTTCGTCGAGATATTTTTTCGGATGATAAATTTTGTCAATTAAATTATCCCAAATAACATCAAAACGAGCTTTAACAAATATTTTCACTTTGCATTCAGGCATATTTCTTTTGTGTCAAAACAAGAAAATATTATCAAAATTAATCGTATCGAAAACAAATTACGAAACCTTTCTTTTCTCTATGAACGATATCCAATCAGTTTATATATTAATAGATGTCACTTTTCTTCTTTGACAAATCTAATCACAATTGTTTAATATGAATTTATGAATACAAAAATATTTGAGAGAATTTTATTTTCGAATAAAATCATTGAAAAAAATCCTTTTTTCACGAGGTTTGTTAACGCTTCAGGCTATGATTCTCGATGAAAAATAGCTGGGGAGTCATTCTCAGCTTTCTTTTCTTATAAGCGAAAATCACAAACATTTACAATATTCTTTCGGAACATCCATGTTTTTCGATCAACAAAATTCTGAAGAAAACATTGTCAGAGAAAAAGACTTTGCTATTGACCGAACTAAGAAATTAGTTCCCATGATTTTGAATGGTGTACTGAACGATAATAATAAAATTCATTCTCTTTATGTCATAACTTAATCTTCAATATAAATGCGATTTCAAATATGAAGAAAGAAAGTGACAGAATGTTTATAAGGGTGCCGATATTTGTATTAAATTGCAAAGTAACTTTTCAACTATACGAAAAAGAAATTCTTGTAACCTTTTGATTGCTTTTTATTTATTACTAAGAGATAAACACAGCGTGAATGTCATGTATAACATCGTAAAATAAAAAATACATAAACACTCGTTGTAACTCATTTCAATACTTGTGTTAGTTAAAGAATCAAAGAATATTACAAAAACCATTAATAAAAACAGAATTACCAGGACCGAAATCTCAAATAATAATTGAGGGTGTAAATGAAGCAGAGAACCAAGAGAAAACCATATTTTCCAACTTTGCAATTTGTATGCTGTTCGATTCTTCAGGCTCTGAAGAATAAGTTATAGATGATGATATGAGTTCACGATAGGGTTGGATAGTTTTCTGATCCGTAAGATAACATATTCAATTTCCCAAAAAATGGTTCGAACAAAATGGATACATATATGATAAAGCATGAGAGGAATTCTCTTCAGTTAGGCTTTATATACATATATACGCTCATTCAGTTGATATCATTTGATAGAGAATGTTATTCGGAGCCCACCATAGATATATTAGCTGAAAATACTCAAATTCACTGCTAACTTTTATTACGTGTAAATTGTTGACCGAACTTTTCATCTTTCATTTAATCTTAATTTATAATCTTAAAATGTGTACACACTTCTATTTATTAGAAAAAGTTTATTTTCTTCGCATATTGTTCGAAAAGAATGACAATACACGAATTATTGATTAGATTCGATCCTCAAACTGATGAGTGTTGAGAAGATAAGTGATTAAATGAAACATCAACGCTCACAGTTAATGGATTATCCCACCTTTCTTCAATTCTCAGTGCAATTGGTCTTCTTGTACTATTCTTTGTACGTCGCCAGTTATGAACGTTTTGATGCTCAAGCTCATCGTCGTTCGTATGTAATGTTCGTGGTTTATGTGATTGTAATAAATGTGGACTCAACTGAAAATAAACATAAAACAGGTATTTCTATAAGTATATTTGAAAAACAAACTGACATTGGGTGATATTTGCATTTGACTTGTTCGAAATTCGTTTACGACTAGATCATGACGTGATGGTAGAATATGTTGATGAATAGGACGAAACCAGAGCTTGTAAAGAAGAAAAATCATCGCAACGATTTCTATAAGTGAAAAACTAAACAGAATTGTATGAAAGAAAAGTGCACCACGACGAATAATTGGCGATTGATTATTTTGAACAAAATAGATTTCTTCAGCAAATTGAATATCAAGATTTGTTTCTTTCGATTCATATCGTAAATATTCTCCTTTTTCTGCAAAATATAATTCATCTGAAAGAGTATCCATATAAGTTATAAATGGAGCCCATATACCATCATAAAATGTTTTATCATCACGTGCTAATGGTCTTGTGACATTTATAACTTTGATAAGACGTACGACAAAAGCAGTCGATAATCCAATAGTTTGATTATTCGTATAAAAAAGAGTACAAATATCAAGTTCACGTAATCGATGTACTATAAAATCTTCATTTATAACATTTGATTTTCCATATAAACAAAGACGAAGTGCTCCAATGAAGTGAGGTCCATTGATATCAATTCTAACAGATGATGTATGACTTGGTAAATCGAAACTGAACGAACCACTGACATTATTCGTTGATAAAGTACAATTTTTTTCGACTATCGATAGAGGAGCACCTGTATGTCGATTACGTGCAACAGTAATATCATTACATTGAGCTCGTGTATTGATCAAATGTACAGTCATAGTAAATGGTTGTTTATTAAGCATATCGAATATTTTCCAATAAGTACCATCAGGTTCAGGTAACGGTAATTGAAGTGCATTGTCAAATTTGGAATTTCGCTGATTATTATCGCATTTTTTGTTGACTGCTTCTCTGGTTTCGAGCGGATACGAATGAAGGTAAAAGTACGCGAATATAGTTGAGTATATAATAATAGCAAAGATAACGACTGATGCGAGACCACCAATCCATCGTTCTCCTTCTCCAATAAGATCATTATGTTTGAAAAAACTTTTTACTCGTTGACGATAACTATCGATTGAAGTAAGACGCCGCCGTTTAATAAAAAACATAATAAACCACATCAATAAACATAAAACTGTCGCTACAATAGTCCAGAAAAGAGGTGTTAAAACTAAACAACTCAATTTTAGATTCGTAGGAAAAAAATTTAATAATAATAAATCATCATAATCATCGATATTCGGTGTATCTGGATAACTGAATGTTTGAATATGTGAACGAAAATCTGTCAAATTGACTTCGCCACTAGCACCTAATGGACAAAAGGCAGTTGTTTTACACGGTTGGCATTGAATCGATGGGCGAATTCCGTTATTCTTTGTACCTGATGGGCAAATCGTACATGGACCAGGACCAGATATATTTTTATAAGTTCCACTAACACACGGTTTCGGTTGTAAAACATGAAAATTTCGTGCATCATTTGATACAAGTTTTCTAGAGCAAAATCCAGCATTGGCAGATGGAATATATACAATATGACCGTTGCTTAATTGAATTAAGATATTATTTGAATGTATTCGAATATGTCGAAATGTTTGTTTGAGCGAAGATGTCCATTGATGAATTCCATCTAAAGTTTGTTGATTATTTGGAATAATAAAAGAAGGTATTATTGAACCTGGTGATCGATTACGATCAACATTTTTATAAACTTGAATTTCTGATTGTGATGAATTCTGATTACTTGATTTTAGTACGAGTATAGCAAGTGTTTCATCATCTTCAAGCCAAACAACAGAACGACCAAAACCATTCCAAACATCAAATTCACTCATTTGAATAAAATTTGAAATAAATCGAACTTGTTCATTTCCATCTATATGAGCAATTGTAACTCGATTTAATTGAACTTCACCAATTGCTAATGTTGTTCCTGAAGGATTAATTGCAAGTGACATATCATAATCATGATTAAAACTAATTCTGTCAAATTCTTGCATATCGTTTAAACCAATTGAACTAACATTAATTACACGTAATGGTTGAAGTCCAAATATATAAACACATTGTTTACTTCGAGAATTGTTTTGAATTGTATGAAAACCAGCGACAGCAGCCCAATCATTTTTTAAATCAAATGCATAAGGAGCAAATGATCCATAACTATTACCGAAAATAATCGAATTTGTTCGATTAATTTGATCAATTTGATTATTAAGTAAATCATATGAAAGTATAAATGAATCAGCAAAAACATACGCAAATTTTTGTTGAGGATCAATTTTTAAAAACATATGTTCTTGACGTTCATTATGCCAAACTATTGTATGATGAAAACTCTTTCGTCGTTTCAAAGTATTGTTACATTTGGTTAAATTCAGAGTTATTTGAGAAATTATTGTCGACATAGATGTTATATTTTCAGCAAGTTGAACAAATGAAACGAGATTATTTTGATTCGTTGTTATAATTGAAATACCATGAATATTTAGTTCACTATATGGATTGTTCATAATACACGAAGAATTTGGAATTATATTGGATATTGAATGAATTATATAAGTTTTTTGAACATTGGAAGCGGCAATAATAAATTGATCGTTAACTGCAACCTTAAGATCATGAACATCTTCTTTTGATTCGTATCTCATTGCTAATATTTGCCATTTCAATATCAATAATAGCAGAATTACAATTTCCATCTTTATCATTGATGGTGCAATCAATGCAGAATTACTGGAAAAGAACATATTACTCAACGTAATACTTCTTGTTCTTTTGTCTGTGTTGAAACAAAAGAATTCCATCAATCATTCATTGACCATATGTAATTATTCCATATAAACAAAGCAACATATTAGCTAGATGCTTGTTCTACATTATGTTCAAAACTTCTTTCCCTGATTGGCGTTTGTCAGTTCTTTTACAGTTGGAAGAAAGAGAATAAATGAGAGTCGAGGAAGATAAGTTGTGTCGAGAAACAATTCACTGATCAATGGGAATTTCTAATTGTCAAGAAGACTAATCAGTCCTTTCCAGTCACTTGACGGGAATGACGAGTTTTCTTTTTTCTCTTTGGCTACAAACTAATGAAAATCTACTTGTATTAACAAAAACAAATGTGTGATAAACAAGGAATTATAAAGTATTTTGAAAAAGAATTGCGAATCGATCAGATTCATGTATCCATCTCTTCCTGAAACTTCATGATAAACAAGAAAAATGTTAATTGTGACTAAAAAGAGATAAACAGATATAATTTGATGTACAATTGTATTCCATCTACTACTATTAGAAAGAATTTTGACAGGATGGAAAGAAAGTGATTTTAATACAGAAAAGATTTTCCTCGTTGTTAAACACTTTCATAATAACAATAACATTTCATTTAAGAACATGTTTTTTTAGTTGATATACAGAAAGAGAGGCACAAAAGTCACTTAGTCAAAAAGAAATCGAATATTCTCCTTTATACTACAAGTAAATGAGCCGATTTTTTTATCGATGGTATTTTTGGTAACAAAGCTTTATTGTATAGAACAACACTAAAAGATAGAATCAACGGATAGTATTGTTGTTATACACAAGCTGGAAGAGAGAACAAAGACACGTAAAGCACTTCTTTTGTCCATAGAGAAAGGAAAAGAACGATAAAATGGTCAAACATAGTTATGATGATGCAATGAAAAATCTTAGTGATGAGATGAGTAAGAGAAACAAATATAATAGAGAAGGAAAGGAAAAGAAAACACGCTGAAATATATGTGATGATTTTAGATTAGCAGATGCATTGACTCGACGATATATCGTATGTAACAACGTGCAAAGATTGTTCTGTACCTGAAGCTTGGAGTTAATCGGGAATTTGATTTTGCGGCAAATTGTCAATATTTTAAGTGCAAAGTCGGCAAAAAGGCTACTTTGCGATAAATACAAGTTCAGTCGAAGCATTGATATTGATCGAACAAATTGTAATTATCTCATTCAATCAATAACAACCATAGAAACAGCTCATTTAGCTGGCTTACCGTATGACGTCGATGCTGAAAGACAATCAGATTTCTTTTTTCTTCCTTATTTGCGAATATTTTTATTGCTTTTCGTTTGCTAAAATTCATTGACAAATTTAAAATAAAAATATCATTAAAAGAATCTTTGGAATTTTAACTCAACATCAAGCAACTACTGGTGTTATTCTAAATACTCGCCATTAACAGAAACATTTCCTTCTGGCGAGGATCATAGACAAATTGTTGATCTATCAATAAGAATATATTCACAAATATGTATTATTTTCCAGAAATTTAATGAAAACTTTTCGTAGAAAAGTTCGGTCGTATTTTTTGCGAGTTGGAATGTACAGGAATTTTCAATGGTCTCAACGCAGTATGTTCTACAATGTGTCCTGAAATACTTTGATCTATGCCGCGGATACGTTTTCAATCCACGGAGTTCATCTAGACTTGTTCATAACAAGAATCGACTGTTTGTCTTTTAGGATTTTGTATTGTAGAAAATACACCAACAACAATTTATTATCTTTTGATGAGAATATATTTTCTGTAATGTAAAATCTAATTTCAGTTGCTTAGAATTATTTAAAATACTTATAAACGTGAGTCATTATATCTAAAACAAGTTTTTCTTATAAATACGTATAATGTTCAATGATCAAAAGTATAAAAAAAGAAGAAAAAGAAAAATATTGAAATAATTTGTACTTAATTACGAGATTTGTTCTTCGTATGGTAAAACAAAACCAGACAATAATCTGTTTGTATATAAATGCAGATTTATTGATATGGTCTGACCTCTTATGGACAGAAGTATGTCATGCATGTCTCTTCGATTGTTATTGTTTGGATTATCTTACGACGATTCATTATATAGTGTGCATGTTCTATGTAGTCTATTTTTCTTTTCTTCAAGAATATTTTGTACTTGTGTATGATGATTTCCTTTTAGTGATTAAAATATGTTCGTACTTTTAGATGGATAATTCTTCTGATAATGATTTTGATTCTAATCATTTATTATTTCATTGTCATAGTGGTGAATTAGTATGGGGTCAATTACATTGTATTTGTGAAGGTTATTTCAATGGTCGTCGTAATCAATATGATATGCCTCAATCTATACCAGAAATCTTGGGAGGAGGAACAATAAAACAACGTTCATATAAATATCGATGTCGAGCCGTTAAAGGTGATTGGCAAGCTAAATTATATCGTACTCGATTGTCTTTGAAAGATGAACCATTTAATTCCGGTTATATTATTTACAATATTGATCAGAATCCAGTTGAAATCTTACGACGTTGTGCTGCTGTTGGTTATTCTCTCGATCAAACTCACGAAGATCGTAGTATAATATATATCAATCGATATGACTGGTCTTGGCATCATGATTACGAATTCAGATATAAAATCAATCGATTATTAGGTATTAATTATAAGAATTCGAACGATAATAATATATTGGAAAGTTTATTTGCTCAGCGAATAATAATTGTCGACTCAAATTCAGCTGAGAATATAATTCAACAATTAAAATCTAATCCTGGTGAATTTGATCAATGTCAAGAGAAAGTATTTATTCAACCTTCTAATAAATTGAACAATCGAATTGGAGTACATTTATCAATTCCTAAGACTGATTATGAACTCGCATGGTTAGTATTCAGTAATGATCAACCTAATGCAGAATTAATTGCAATTGTCTATGATGGAAGTTATACTCAATTAGATGGTCAAATTCTACTCGATCAACAAGATGTAATCACTTGGAATGAATATCAATTGAAAATAGAAGAACGAAACCGTATCCAAGCTGATCGTCTCAAGAAATTACAATGTGCTACACAATGAAACATAAAATAAATTGACAGATATGCAAAACATATGCCTTTTTAGTTAAATAAATGAAAGTACAAGAGTATGATTATGAACTATATGTATAAATAAATTTTCAAGAAGTGTATTTTAAGTGCGTCAAATGAACATTGACAGAGCGACAGATATATCCGAAAATCAACATAGACATGAAGTTCGTTATTTAGCATTGATTGACCAGATATCCGAAAAAATCTATTTACGAATACTGAACACAATTGGTTTTCCATCGTGTAGTTTCTGTTAATAAACGATAGCTAGTAAATACTTTCGTATTAGGCACTGATTGATTAGAACCGTATGTATCTCTGTCGAAATCAATCTGTACTCCAGTCGATCCATTATAAATGAGTGTCCAACTTGTATCTTGTGTTCAGTCTCCTCCATTACTTCCTTCAATACTAATAATAAATGGATCTCATACAGGATAATCATGGTCTGTTGCAAAATGAAATTGCGGCAAAGCCAATAGTATACCGAAATGTATAGTAGCATAAAAACCGGAACCGATGCCGCCCAAAGTACTGTTGACATACTGAGATGTGATATTATAGTTGACATAAGTATCCGCCGAATGATACGAAGGATAATTGCCATCACCAAATCTGATGGTGAAAGAATAAATAGAACAGCATCGGATATTCCGAAATGCAATGTACAGTGAATTCTTCCGTTGGTCCTATTTTCTCAATTTTAAAAACATCAATCATTAATGATTTTCAATATTGTCCTATAACATAACGCACTATTGAAACACCCGAGAAAACATAATTCTGTACTTGTTAATAATAAATTTGTCAGTTGATAATTCATTTTCAATCACTGTTTCTCTATGCTGAACTCTTCGCAGAGTTGCATTCAAAAATAAAGAGACTGCATTAGTGTCATCCTTTGATGAACGAATGTAAGTAATAAAGAAAAGATTTTTTCATTTTCAAGGAATCAAGGAAATAAGATTTTGTTTCTATGGCAGGTGAAGATAACCATAGCTTCTTTATAGATCGTATTATCACCTTTATCATCACACATCAATAAATAAGAGATATATGATAAATTCTTCCGACTAAATATAAAATCAGTCATTTCAAAGATCATGAAAGTAGAAATAATCTGCAGTTTATATAGACAGTCTGTTTTCTGCATGCAGTTTTTGCTTTTCGGGCAATATTTCGTTAGAAATCTATGATTTTGTTAAAAACTAAGCCGATCTACGTATACTTGAAATCTTTGTACTTTGCCTCAATGGATCGTCTGATAAAAAAGTCATCTCTTGACGAATTTTTCTCATCTTCGAACTCTATCGAGATATTGATGAGATAAATCTGTCCACAAAATATCATTTTCAATTGAATCTGTATGATCGTGAAGACTTATCGTATAAATGGACGCGGTTAGACTGAGACACTGTGGATGGATTCTAGAATGTAGTCATTTTTTGAGTCATACACGTTCATATCCTCACGAATAAAAAAGATTTTCCACATCAGTTCTATTTTGAAAACAATATTGGCCGATGTTGATTAGAAGAGAAGTGACAATTTTCAATGCAACAGTTAATCCATCATAAAAAGCAACAATTGTTATTCTAATATATACTGGACCGTGCATGTTCTTCGATTGAATATCGACATGAGCGAGGTAAACAAGAACGATAATAATTTTCATTCATCAATGAACAAACGATCGACAAGACTTTGGACAATTTCATTTGAAGAAGAAAGACTTGAATTCAATGGTAAAACGGTAACAACCTGCACAAAATAGAAAGATTTCGTTAAATTAATACAACTAATATTATAGAGACATTCGAAAGTTGATTGTAAGAGAAAATTGAGTACATAACAATTAGTATCCAAATGTTCGTCTATTTTGAAAAGAGAATGAAATTCTGTAAAGATCGACGTTTTGTAATACATAGAGTTCGCGAAGTAAATTTTCTTCGACATTTACGAATAAAAGAACAGATTTGTTCGTTTATATTCTTTGATGAAAATGTCAAAGAAATATTTGAAAATCTCATATAAAGTTCATTGCCGATGAATAAAAAGAAAGAGAAGATTTTCTTTTCTTTTCTTCTTTTATTTCAGATGATTATGATGAGAATAGATCTTCTTTTCATTTTGCAAATTTCCTTGTTAAATTCCATAAAATGTATTAATTTTTATAAAGATGAAATTCTTTTCTCTGATCAAACATATCCAAATTATAAATTTCATGTTCTCCATCATTTATCTGGAATTTCTCCATATTTCTCTTCAAATAATGACGAATTAAGTCCTTCTGTACCTTCGGAATGTTCAGTTGATAAAACAGCTTATTTAATTCGTCACGGATCAGTTTATGTCGATGATTACGATTATTTAAAAATTATTGAACCATTTTTAAAACGAATTAAAAGTCAAAATTTTAGTCAATCGAACATTTTTTCCTTTTTATCTCAATGGAAAAGTCCAATAACAAATTCAAAGAAACAAATTGAAAGATTAACTCGATATGGTTATTTTGAAGGTTATCAATTTGGTATTGAACTTTCATATCGTTATAAACATCTTTTACCTAAAAACAATTCGAATTCTTTTCGAATCTGGACAGCATCATCATCACGAACTTATCAAAGTGCTTTAGCGATCTCTCAAGGTCTTTTTCAAGGTGAAAAAACATCAGCAAAATTAATTTCCATTTCTGAAAAGAAATCACGTGGTGGAAATACTTTAACACCAACAAAATCTTGTCATAAATATAACGCATCAAAAGGTTCAATTGAAGCCAATTATTGGTTAAAAATTTATACAAAATCAATTTTAAAGAAATTTAATAAAAATATTTCAAATTTTCAATTTATTCCCGAAGATATTTTAGCTATGCAAGAACTATGTGGATATGAAACAATTATTAAAGGACAATCGAAATTTTGTCGTTTATTTTCATCTGAAGATTGGATTTCATTTGAATATTATTTTGATTTAAAATATTTTTATGAAATTTCCTATGGAAATTATTTATCAACATATTTAGGAATGCCTTGGATTAAAGCAACAGTCGATCTTTTTTCTAAAGAAAAACAAACAAAACAAAATCTTTTTTTATCAATTACTCATCGAGAAATGTTTCCATTAATTTTAAATGCTTTAGGATTATTTAATCAAACAAATTTACCATTGCATCAAATTGATCATCAAAGATTATGGAAAACAAGTGAAATTCTTCCATTTTTAGCGAGAATTGCTTTTGAAAGATTACAATGTGGTACGGAAATATTCATTCGAATATTAATTAATTCAACACCAAAACCAATTCCGTATTGTTCACAAGGACCAGGACAATCTTGTCCTTTATCTCTTTTTCTAAATTATATTCAACAACGTTATCTCAAATTTAAAAATTTTTCTCAAATTTGTCAAAATCAAAATCAAATGAATCATTTCACATTTTTTAATTAGAAATTTTTATTATAAAATAAATCAAAGAACCATTATCAGACGTTTTGTTAGAATTATCTTTGAAAACTAAACGTGCAGTACATAATATAGACTAATTGTACTTTGAAGTTCATTTATTTCTAATTTATCATAGATTTTCCTTGAAACAGATATCTTCATGTTTCAATATAAATTAGAGATCTCAATCTTTCAAATTATATCTTCTTCTTATACGAATTTAATCTTAAGATTTATTTATGAAATCTTCATTTATATTCGAATTTAACCGTTACTCATACTTAGACAAAACAATTAAACACTTTGACATATATACGCAATACTAAAGAAAACCTTTGAATGTTTGAAGATTTTTTCAAATTCTGTTAATTGTTTTTCACTCATCATTTTTATCAAAAGTAGAAAATCGAGAAGAAAGCTTTTATTCATTGTCTGAGATTGATAACAAAGTATTTCGCAATCAGTTTTCCCCAACTCGATAGAAAGATGAGTAAATAAATTTTCTATTTTTCACAAAATAAGTAATATCACCCATTCTGATCGCACGACAAATGGAATTGGAAAACTATACTCACCTTTTGCTTTTTTCTCAAGTTTTCACTCGTATTAAACAGAAAGAGAATTTTTCAAAGAATATCTGAAATGTAGTTTTGTGTAAGACAGAAGATATTCTCCATGAATTATTCATTTCGTGTAAGTAGGAAATCGTTAAACAATACTAATAAAATCAATTTGAGGACAAAAAGAGGCAGATATAGATCTATGATAAATTATTCGCATTATATGTTGAATATTTATTTGTATTTATAATCAAGAGAAACAATTCTAATGAATCTATTGAAGAAAGAACATTTTCTTTTGATAAAATCGTATTACGAATAGTTATTCTTAGAGTACAATTGAAGATTTTCTCATTCTTGTTTTAAATTGATACATCATTTCTAAAAGCTTTCTGAAATGTATGATGGATTTCAATTCATACAGTTATAAACGATGGTATAAGACACTTTGGTGCAACTTTAATATGATAATTGTTGTTCATAGTGTGTATTTTCAAGTACAACCCACGACGACACTTGAGTATTATACGAAGTATTTAGTCATCGAAATTAATATTTATCGTTCCCACTCATTTCAATGGAAAGGATTTTTCTAGAAGAACACTTTTCAAAAAGAAAAGATATGGGAAATATCCGCATTTAAGTAGAAAAGAACTGCGAAAAGTTGAATGATTGATTGAGATTAGTTTCAATATAATAAAATAATGACTAAGTAAGTTCTTTTATAGTATTTATGACGATAATATGAAGAAATACATTTATCTTGTCTCAAATATGAGAAGTTATATCGATATCAACGTAAATAATATTTTGAATTTAATCGATTAATAAATCGAGACAGTCATCATTGAATTATAGAGTTCTTTATTTGAGATACGTTTCGTTTTCTTGTGAAATGTCTTCTCCCGGTAAGAAGCCATCTCTATGATTTCAGATTATTTGGCGTGTAGAAACTAAAAGTTAACGAAATATCGAACTAAGAAAGAGCAGTAATGTCGCACAGATTTTCAATTGAATTTATAGAAGTTAAGAATAATAAATCAAAATCCACAAACATCCATTAATTCATTTCGATCAATTTTCAGATATCATTTGTCTTTATTAATCATATAGATCATGTTTCGATGGTATTTGCATTTGTTAAGTCTATGTATAGTATCAACTTTGAGAATTGGAAGAATTTCTCAATCTATCTATGTACCAGATCCAGCGAACATTAATTCTTCGCTCACCTTTCATTTTTCAAACAGTTGTAACGAATGTTTATGTTACATAATTGATTCAACTATGAATTATAGTATCATCAATTGTGTACAAGATGGACGCTTGTGTTCGTATTATACAAACTTTTCTTCAATTTATGCTTTTCTTGCAAGTAACAATGCTTCTGTTTATTTATTTCAACCACCTCCAGCACCTTCGACACCAACACAAATTTTATCAACATTGTCATCAACTACAACTTCAATAGTTGCATCTACCAAAACCGTACTAACCACTGTTCCAACGGCGGAGGTGACAGTAACTGCTGCTCAAACGGCGGGAGTGCCAATGACTACTGTTCCAACGGTGGAGGTGACAGTAACTAGTGTACAAATGGTGGAGGTGCCAATGACTACTGTGCAAACAACGGAGATGCTAATAACTACTGCTCGAACGGTGGAGGTGCCAGTAACTACTGTTCCGACTACGAAGACGATAGTAACCAGTGTCGCATCCACTAGTAAGTTATTTTCAAAGATTTTTACAATATACATATGTGCTTAAAAGTTCAATGCAAACGATCAATGAAAGTATTTTAAATAATCTTATAAGTCTTTTTGAATGAACTCTTTAATGAAAATCGTAAAGATAGGTTTTGAGGAATAGTTGTATTGTAAAAGAAAACGTTTATTAGCGCCAGTTCAGCAGATTTAACGAAATAAATGTGAAAGATTCTTATAAATACATGAGATATTTTCTCTTTGTTTTGAAATATTATCTATAATATAAAAAGAAAACTTCTTCATTGATTATCTATTTTACAGGTTCATATAGCACAAAAAGTATCACTACTCAAACATTACCATCGAATGTATGGATTTCAACAAGAAATATGACAGTAGCAAGAATATATCACACGAGTACTTATATACCAGAAACAAAAAATGTGTTAATTACAGGTGGTACAGGTCTTATGTCAATGGAAATATTTATTTATTCAAATAAATCATTCAGAAAAACAATCGATATGACACAAACAAGAATGGCACACACAGCCGATCGTCTTGTTATGAATGTGATTTTAATTTCTGGTAATACTACTGCTGATCTTTATGATCCTATAAGGGAAGTTATTAATAAAACTATAAGTTTAAGTGCACGACGTTTCTATTTTCCCTCAATGCCCATTAAAATAAATAAAACGACGAATGTACTTCTTTGTGGGGGTGTAACAAATGAAACAGGAACAACTTATTTGTCTACAGTTGATATTTATAATAATGAAAGTGAATCTTTCAATTTAACAAAAATGTCATCTGCTCGATATTATCATACATTAACAGCAATTCCAAATGGTAATATTATAATTGCTGGTGGTTCATCAGTAAAACCAACAATTCTTAATACAATGGAAATGTACAATAGTAGTTCAAATTCATTTGTGAATTTAACAACACGTATGTCAAGCCTTCGTTATTATCATACTGCAACATATATTCCTTCAATTCAATCAATTCTTTTTGCTGGTGGATCTTCTACAACAAGTAATAGTTTAAATACATTTGAATTATTTAATGTAACAACTATGAAATTTGTTCTAAATGGTACCATGTTAACAACAAGAACTGCTCATACAGCAACTCTTCTAAATAATGGACAAGTTCTACTTGTTGGTAGTGATTCGGCAACAAAAACAGCAGAAATTTTCGATCCAACAACATTTACTTGTCGTTGGGCAGCAAATATGTCTGTAGCTCGTGGTTATCATACAGCTACTTTACTCGGAGATTCAGGACAAGTACTCATTTGTGGTGGAAAAGGGAGTAGTGGTACATTGAATAGCTGTGAAATTTATTATTCATAAATTTTAGAATATTTTTTCCATTTTATAGAGATTTAGAGTAAAGAAATAATGATGATTAGTATTGTATATTTGTTGACCTACAGTGAAATAGACACACATTTAGAATGCTATTTTATTATACATTATTCAATTTTAGAAAAAAATAAACAAAGTAGTTAATCGATGAAATAAAATATTTCCAATAAAATTCTTTTTATTCTCTCAAATAATTTCATTTTGTTTTGAAAATTTCGTCTTGAAAGATCAAATGAAACGATAAAATAAGATTTTTTTATTCCATAAACGAAATAACGAAAAGTTTATGAACAAGTTTGAAGAAGAATTTCTAATTAATCGGCATTGTAATTAGCGACAAAAATATCAACAAGATGATCTTGATTGATATCACCATAATTGTAATCGATTTTGTATGTGAATTATAATTCATAGAAATTGATTATTGTAAAAGAAACGTTTGATTTCCATTTTCATAATGAATAAGAATTTTACTTTGACCAGCATTTGTTATAATAATATTTAAATGTTAATCTTGATTTAAATCATAAAGAGAAGTATCAGATGGATTTGAATCGAATACCAATTAAAATATTTTTGAGCAAAGTTAATGTTCCATTGTAATTTCCTATTGGAAAGAAACATTTGATTTAATTTTGAATCAATAAAAATAACAGCTGAATAATTATTATGGTTAAAATCACCAAATGAAAATTAATTTGGGCAAAAAAATTGTATATCAATAAATATATTTTCATTATAAAATGTTCGATATCTATATAATTTTACCTAATTCTTTATCATTATTTAAATCATCAATTAAAATTGAACTTAAATATGGATTTGATTCAATTTCATATTCAATCATTAATGAAAAATATTTCATTGGAATTTTCATAAAAGATTTCAATTGAATAAGAAAATACACTTCCAACAATCATATCTAGAAAATTAAATTTATCTAAATCTCTAAATGCAATCAATGAAAAAATCTTTTTTTCAGTTAAAAATTTCATTGATTGTGAAAATGAATCGTTTTTATATCCAAAATACAAACCAATGTAAGTTGCATTCGTATAAGAGACAATAATATCATCATTGAAATCATAGGCATTCAAAGTAATTGGTAAAGATGATGATTCGGCCAACAAAGATGATTTTAAAATAAATAAACCATTTCCGTTTCCATAAAATATAATTGAAAGAAAATAAACATTATCAGCAATAACAATATCAAGATAATTATCATTATTAAAATCATTAGTTATTACTGAAATTGGATGTGAACCAACACCTGTTGAATATGTTTGATTCTGTTGAAAAATCATTATATTATTAGAAAAACTATTTGCAACAATAATATCCATTAATTGATCATTATTAATACCAGTATAAAATAAAGTGAAGATAGTTGAGATCGAGATCCAGTTGAAAATATTCTCAATGAAACAAGTAATGCTCGTCGTGCCGACTTACTTAACCCTCGACTGCGGAGGATAGATATTTTTTCGTGTCCCAATTGTGAGACAAACTGATCTAACAGTTTTATATACGAAGAAACAATTCAGATGTTTTTTTGCAAAAAAAATTCAGTATTTTGTTTTCGAAAGTTACTAAATATATCTGCGCAAAAGCATTTGAATTGTTTCTTTGTATGTAGAACTGTTAGATCAATTTGTCTCACAATTGGGACACGAAAAAGTATCTATCCTCCACAGTCGAGGATGTAGTGAGTCGGCACGACGAGCATTACTTATTTTTTAAATTAATTTAAATTTACTAAAAACACCAATAATAATCATCAGTTACTTACAGAGGTTTCATTTCTTTGTAAAATTTCCGTAGATGTAATAGGTTTCACTCAATGGATTACAATTACATTTGGCACATGTGAGTTTAGCTAATGTATCTCTCGATATCTCTATTTTTCACTTTCACTGCATTTAGCTACGGTAATACACACAATTATTTGTCGTTCTTTTATTACTTCTAAGATCAGTTACAGTTGAATCAAAGTTGGAACATCCTAGCCATCTGAACGCCGCACCAACTTCGTATTCCATCGTAAACAAATCAATACCAACCAAACACCAAATCTGACTATAATCGTCAACTAAGGGGACACAGCCGCCGATCAACGATTCCAATCACCCACGTCCATACACTCATCAAGAGGCTCATCCTTCGTCCACACTCGTTCTAGCCTCAATACTAGAAGTTTTCAATGTGTTGGATGGTTTTTAAAAAAAAGATGTTTTCTTGACCTTTGGCCCTAACACAAATAGCCAAACTTTTTTTCATATGACTCTCTTTACAATCCAGGGAATTTTAAAACTGATTTCTTCCGGTTGTGTACAATTTTATCGTCAATCAAATCGTTTTTTAATATATTAACGTTTCGAAAATATGAGAAACTGCGGAATCAAATCCTGGTGTTCCATAAACTGCATAAAAACTGGTCATCAAATGATATTGGCAATGAATTAATAAATAGTGATTGTACACCATTGCAGATAAGACAAGCCCTTATTCGTTATATCAATTATACAACAAACAGAGGCAGTATTGAAACAAGGAAACGAATGGGAAGACCAAGAACGATCAGAACATCTATATTTATATCTTCGGTCAGAGATTAGATGGAAAATAAATCAAAATAACGAATTCGAAAAACAGATGAGATATTGAGTAGTAAACATAGGAATTTTTCCTACGGTAGTGTTTGAAAAGCACTAAAAGAAGATTTTAAGATCAAACCCTGGAGACTAACTCAGCCACAGAGGATTTATGCAATGCAACGAAAAGGACGTGTGAATAGCGCAAAAATAAATATTAAAGACATTCGAAATGGAAACGCATGGTGAATGCCGATTTTATTGGTCGCGTCAGTATGTTGCGAATACACAACAGTAAAAATGATATCGTACGGTCTTCTAGTGAATCAAAAATTTCACTCGCAGTGCAAAATATTGAACAAGAAAAATACAGTTCAGGCTCAGGTGTTTTTGTTAAATGGCGCAATTTCGTCTCGTGGTTTAATTCCACTATCTACACCGACCTTTAGTGATGACTGCTGACAGTTGAATGTTAGAAAGCCAATAAAGAAAAACGAACCATACATAGATTTTTGTACATTAAATTAGTTAAACAAGTAAAATTGCATATCGATCAATTATACAATGATCTTCATGTGGTATGACAAGGCGATAGAGATTCCAAACATCGATCTTATTGCGTCTTAGAGAAAAGAAGTAAGTGAATTTTTTTCGATTGAATCAACCTAGAAGATTGAAAATATTTGGAGCTTCGTCAAAGGAAAACTGAAACGCGTAGATATTCAAAATCTGTCAATACTGAGAAGAAAAATTGTACAGATTTGGAGAGTGATTACTCCGACAATGCGTTCTACTTTGACTAATCAATGCCGAGAAGGTTGCAGTGTTTAATCAACCAAAATGATTTCTAAATCTCGAAAAAAGACTATCATGATATTCAAGCATGAAAAATCCCATTGGCTGTTATTGCATCAATAAGGAGAGTTAAATATTCCAGATGTTATTATCGAGTAAAATTTGCTATTTCGCTTTTCGACAAAAAATCTTGTTTTGTTTTATCCTGTTTTCTCTACATATTTCCCTTATAAAAAGGATTATCTTTTTGAAATTCTAAGGTAAGATTCACCGGATGATGAGAAATGATTGGTAAAAATTCTGAGTGACTTTGAGTTCATTACAAGGACTTTTGGCTCCTCCTTTAAAAGACACTTGTACTGATACCAGTACCCAGTACAAGTACTTATGCTGTCAAATATGTACTGTGCACTACCCATATCCAAGTAAAAGTACGAAAAATATCAAGTATTGTATTGAATATCCAAACTATGCAACGAAGTACCGTATACTATCAATGAAGTATCGATAAAGTACCTAGTAGTACGTGAAGTGCGAGAGAAGTACGAGCAAAATGTCAGTGAAGTCCAAGTACGAGAGAAGTACAGAAATACGGCAGTTTTGCTTCTGTCCTCTTGACTCACGCAGATTCAAGAGGCTTAAGAGTAATATTCATCGACGGTTTGTGTATAGTTCCTATCAAGGTACATACCATCCCTGTTGAGAATACTGAAAGCCAATCTATGGAATCATATGGTTCAAAACCGTACACTAAACTTCGAGGGTAGCCGAATTTTTTGTCATACACAGCTCGTATAGCGTAACGTCCATCGCAGTCACACCCATTCGGACCACATTTTTCGTGCAGGTTAAATGCTTCGATATCTGCAAACATATCGGACACATGCATCATGGGTGCCCTCTAAATACATCGACAATTTCTGTGAGATAGCGCACAAATTGTATTATTTTTAAACTTAAACTAAGCGGATTTTTGAGGAACATTCATGAAGCTATCGGAAGAATTTGTCATACCTAGCCATTGTGTACAGACAAATTATCATCATCAAAATATTTTGTATCTTAAAGTAAACTGTTTGAACATTAAAAATTGTGAATTTTTTCTCGTAACGAATCAGCAGCAAGAGGAAAACACACTGCCTCACTCGTACTCCAAGTATTAGCTTTTCTTTCTTGATGGGTATGCAGTATCTGATCTTTGTAGATATAGTGAAATATACTAATATAAAATGCTTAATACCTCACTCTGTGACTAGGTGTATATGATAACTCAGCTTTTGTGATGATAGATTCAGAAAGGAAACTCGTTTTACAAGAAAATGAGAAGTTCAGAAACTCGGAATCTCGTTTCGTTGAGGCGTAATATAGGGGGTCAAAACATATACTGCTGGTATGCACGGGAAATATCTTGAAAAAAGACAACTCTATCCCTCTCCCAAATATTATTGAAACTTGAAAAACCTTCCAAAGTGCCCTAGAACATTCTATATCGCTTTAAAATAGCTCTTTGAATCTGGACTTTGCTTTCAACCTTCCCTTTTTGGCGAGAGATCTGAGCCTTACAGACGCTATCCTCATAGTAAGTTTTGAAAGAGGTGTTCAAAACGCGGTTTAAAGGATTACAGAATATTTAAAAAGTAAATGAAATGCAAGCAACTTTTAAAGTTTTTACAAATTCGCAAAGCTCTGCTGAAAGATTCTAAATGGCTGTTTTGGGCCCGATTTGGCCGAAAATCAAATAGAAACTCTGAAAAGGTCTAATGACGTTCATTGCTTTGGGGTGGTTTTTAAGAAGAATCGAGAGGCACCAAAAAAGGAAACATGTCTACGATATAAGACTCCAGGTTTTTATCTGGGCTTTGCAAAGAAAATGTTAGCGTTAGTATCGATGCAGAACTCTATAGATAGGCGTACCTCATACCACGTGTTGTTCACACATGTGTTTTCAGTTACAGCAACGATTTTTTCATTGAATACTTCGAATTCTTGACGACATTGCTTCACGGAGTAGCCTTCCTGTTCAACAATCAAATTGTACCGAGTAAACGGACGACGCATCCAGAGATCGTGCGCTAATAAGAAAGCTCTTGCTGAATCACTTCTCAGAATTGACCAATGAAATATGACTTGGTTGCAATATATAACAGTGCAGAATAGTATCACAAAGCTTATAGTCGCGATGGCCGCTCGTCGACAACTCCACATTGTCACCGCTGAATGAAATCCAAGTGCAGATGTGGTTTTCGCTCTCGATGCAACAAATATAGATCAGTAGAAAGCACACGTTGTTAAGTTGTCAATAACTGGAATATCAACAAAACGCGTTAGTATGCCATCTAAAGACAAACTAAAACAGACTAGTAGATTCTTTCTGTGGGATATCCTATATAAAACAGTTTAACTATTATTTAGTTATTGAAAAACCTTGAATATTGGTGTTAGGCCACGAAAAATGGCGCCTGATCTATCTAGCATGAATGACTAGTTTGTAGATGAAAAGAAGGAAGAAAATAAGAAAAATCTGCCGTACGTTTTCATCAAACATCTGCAGGCGAGCAGTATACTAAAGTTAATGATCGACATTGGAGGAATTCTCAAAAGTTTAAGAACATAGATGCGCCTGCTCAGAAATCCTGCTCTTCGTAATGATAATTGAAAATTTGTTTTTGCCGAAGTTTTGCGAATTGCAAACGATCTCTGCAAAATCTCAACTATTTTTCAACGAAATAATTCGGCTGTGAATATATTTTACGCAACTTATGGAAATATTGCGTGTTCTACAAATAGCACAAAAGAAGACTGTGTTTATGCCAAATAACAGAGATACTAGCTAAGGTTCTTTGTACAATATTCAATCGTTGGCTAATGGCCATCTGATACATTCTTATCACGTTGTAGAAGTAGCTGAAATTTTCTGATAGAGATAAATTCATACAGATTGATGTCTTCGATAGACAGTACCAACAGCTCGTGTCCTGAAGGCTTTGGTTTTCTACATGATTTCTGGAAACCTTTATAAGCCTTCGAAAGGAATTTTTTGAAATTCTAGGGTCGTCAATAAATGGACTATGTGAAGCTGCATCTGTGAATAAATGTTGATGATAGTCGGAAGAGTTTTTCAAGATATATGCCTATTAGATTTCTTAAGTACCTTATCAACTCATGGTGCTTTTTTTAATAACGAGTCCCTTTTCGATTGATACTTGCACACTATATATCCTCTACATGTTATTTCATAATAGCTAGCATTTACTCGAGACAAAACTCTCTTAAATCGTGAGCTATTCAGACCCATCAGACGAGTGAAATGTTTACACTACCGTGATGAAGTGATTTTTGCCACAGCACATTTGAAAGTGTGGTTGCGTGTTTTCGCTGCAATAATGCAACGGGGAAAGAGGAAGAACGTGAAAAGAACAGCGAGGAAAAAAGAATCAGCTCTCTTACTTTTCTACCTTCAATTGGGATAGACGTATATTGCATCACATGACTGGTGCAATATATGCGTGTGATATACAAAAAAAACAGAGCATACCGATGAAAAAAAATGATCGGAAGAAGTTTTTCCGATCAAAATAGTCATGTTTATCTTTTTTACTTCTTCTATTGATGATATATTGACCATAAAACTCTTGTCAGAAGATATGTCGAATTTAGACTTGTAATTCCATTCGCTTGAATAAATCTGACAATGGAGGTATTTGTAGTGATAAGTAAAATCATTAAACCGTTTTATATCAAATGAAAGCTCTCACCGTTACTTTATCAGAGTTAAAATATTAGCGGCTGATGGCTAGGTTATACGGAAATATTCGATTTTTACGTTATTCACAGTATGGACAAAGAGGAACACTAGGACTATTTATATTCATTTTTTTAGTCAATTAACTGAATAATTCAATAGTAGGCTATGAGAATCTTTCTAAATTTTATTAATAACAAGTAACGTTCATCCTATGGATTCGCCGACCCTTTTCTAAAAGAATTGTTCTACTGCTGACCTTATTCAGACACATTGAAAAACAAATAGGGCACTGCGGCTATTACTGGATCTCAGCTAGACCATGGCATTGTGTCCCACACCAGAATCAATAAAAGACAAAGATTCTTCTTTTTTCATGAAGGAACATTCATGAAATCCCTTTTAAAAATCTTTCTTCAAGTATGATAAGGTTCTTCCAGATGTATACTCTAAAGTTAATCTCGGATGCTAACACCTAGTCGGTCGGCCACTCACTCACGAATAATCGTTGTCATGGTTACCTCTATTCTGCAGATATGGCCAAATAATCTTAACTTTCTTTTCTTGATAGTATCTATTATAGTCTCCTCTCTGGATATCATAATTTCGTACCATATCTCACCAATTAATTTTTAGAATCTGTCGATAGCATTTCATCTCAAAAGCCAATAGTTTTTTCCTGTCTGCTTCTCTTAGAGTCCAAGTCTCTAATGCCTATAGTGGAACACTGAACACATGTGTTTAGAATACTTAGCTTGTTATCTACCCTCAATTTCTTGCTATTCTACATGTGTTTCAAAGAAGTGATTGCACCTGTCGCTTTAGTCCTATCCTCCTTTTTGGTGTAGTCAGAAAGTGAGTACACTACTAGAATCAGTCTATATGTCCGTCCGTTTATTGGATAACTTTTGAACGAAGCGGCAGATCGAGCTGCAATTTTGTACACAGTTCAGTCTCGTCAATATCTCGGTCGAGTTCGAAGATGAGAATGATTTTTCAAAAAATGACTGAGCTATCGAAAAAAGACTCATTTTTGCCTGGAACGTCCCTGTGGGGCGGGGGTGCAGGGGTATTTTTGAAGTACACCTAGCTTTCGGATAAAGTCCAAAGTCTCCACATTTATTTAAATATTTAACCGTCTGTGACAGTTATTGTCGTAACAGAAAGTTCATATCCGGCTCAATGACGTTCAAGCAAAAACCGTTGAATAAGAAAAGAGAAATGTCAGAGATGTTGAAATTGTTCGGTGATTGATGTGATTTCTTCTCGACATAAGGGACATTTGCTCAATGGTTGTTGAGCACAATCTTTGCAGAGACATTGATGAGCGCACGGAGAGAGTATCATTGAACTATCGTTTGTTAAACAGATGCAACATCGATTGGGATGATCTGTTGTGGAATGAGCGGATTCGATTGCGGAGTCATTGAATAGAGCGAGAGTTTGATTTGGAAGAAGATTTTGATCTAGAGGAAGATCATCTTTTTGGGCAATGTCGATCAGATGTCGATATTCTTCCTCGTAGAGAGATCGATCATTGAGAAGAATCATTTCTTCTTGAAAATACTTCACTAGACGTGGAAATTGTCGACGCATTGTTTGATATTCTTCCATAATATCCGGCGTGGCTGATGCTCGACGAACTATCAAATAACGTTTGACAAATTTGGTATACCGAACAAGTAGAAGAGCTTTTCGTATGCCGGCATGAGTATAAGAATTGATCTGTTCGGAGAATTGAATCTCTTGTTCATTACTCTCTGTTGAACCTTGAAGAGTTTTCCATGATGTCTTCATTTTCAGAGGTTCGTGAGTATTGGAATTTTTGTTTTGATCAATGATCTGAAAGAGAAGATATCCTCCTCGAACTTCATTCTGTTCATTCATTGCTAAGGCAAATTCAGTGACGAGTTCAATGGATTGTCGTTGTTGGATCGGTTGTTCATATTGATAGACTTCGGGTGATCCATAACCTTGACCGAGTCGATAACGATCTCCAACTAGATTCAATTGAATGTGAAATCCGACAGGTGTCACTGTGTAAGGAAATTGTGTCTTCATCAATTGATCAAATGTTCGAGCATTTCGAACATTGGAATAATTACAACCGATCGTTCGTGACACTGTTTGAATCACTTCTGTTCCTAAATCGAGACCAACACCAACAACAGTTGACCAGATTTGTTTCTTTTCGGCATTCTCTTGAATATGTTTTAAGAATTCTATTCCATCATTATGAGACACTTCCATATCTGTCAGAAAGAAGATTCGACGACTTCTCCTCTCTCTACCATTTTCTTGATCGTAGAGTTTCGTTGCACATTGAACAGCTTTACTAATTTCAGTCCCTCCACCAGCACGAAGTGATAAAATCTCTTCCTTCAATTTTTCCTGATCGATTGAAGAGAATTTTTCCATAGGATGCAAAACTCTCGGAGTACCATTGAACAGGACAATGCCAAGCGAATCGTTTGGTGACAGTTGTTTCAAAAGAGTTAAAAGAGACTGTTGAGCGATTTGCAATTTGGTCTTGCCTGGTTCGCCTTCAAATCGATCTCCCATTGAACCCGACACATCAAGTGTTAAGACTAAATCAAGTCCAACATCATTTAACCGAATGCCTGGACCATCAAAACAACTGTTCAGATTCATACTGAGCCAATATTCTACATTGTCTTCCAAAGGATTGACCGTTTTTGCTACACCAAACGATGGCAATAATATTTCTGTACTTGTTCGTTGAGCTGGAAAATAATGAGCATAAAACGAACTGTCATAACTAAGATCGTAGAGAACATCAACTGGTGCTGATGCTTCAAGTTCAGCTTCTTTAATTGTTCACGACCTTGTTCTCGTGCTTGAGCTTGTCTTTGTTGAGCATACGCTTCGAAGGCAGCAACTTGACGGCGTGTTCGACCACCATCGGATATACACGCGGTTTGCTGAGTACGACCCATCGACGACGAAGAATGCAATACTCATCACATTCACATCTATTTATATTCACAGTTTCTCAAACACGGTGACGAAATTCTGGCATTTATTGACTCAATTATCAAGACAAGGACTGGTAATATTCCTATGACTCAAACTTTCCATATCTTTTTGAAACTTCGAGCATAGATGACGAAAAAGGATTTTTTCTTACTTGATCAGATTCTTCAAATATTGACATTCTCTTTCATTGGATTCTTCGTAAAACAAGCTCTGACATATTTCTTCTTTATCTCAAGTCTTTTCTTATCAGAGAATTTGTCTACTTTTATTACTCGGAAAAATCTTAAGCGTCACGAAAAGAAACGGTCTTTCTAATAGAGAGACAGATTTGGAACAGAAGACTTTCAGACCTCCGAGACTGATCAAACTAATAATCGAACGATTCTTTGAACATATTCGAATATCTTTCCAACTGACTGACTTCTGCAAGACCGTAGGCGACAGAAATACGAGGAGAGCTGGAGCCCCCAGATTTTCAAAACGCTTTACTCATGTGTATTGTTCATCATCTCGTTCTCCTATCAGTTTATGGGATGTTAATGATACAATTATAGGATTTTGTTGAATCTTTTATTTTGAAGCGAAGGAGAAGAAGAAGAATCAATGAAAATTTGAAGTAAAATGTTTTCTAAATAAAGGTGAAGGTAAAATGTAAATAATTGAAATTAAAATTGATGGAATAAATAAAATAAAATAAGAGAAAAGATATAACCAAGAATTAAGAGATGTTTTGACACAACGAAATAATAATGAAATGATAAAATATGGTAAAGATAAAAGAACTAAAACAATTGGACTTAGAATTAAATGTTTATTTTGAAAAAATTCTCCTTTAAAATGTTGAAAACGTGTTTGTGATGTTCGAATTTTCGCTTTTCGTTTCGAAATGATTAAAAGAAAAAAGAAAACAGATGTTAAATTAATAAGAAAAGGTAAAATAAAATGAAAAAAAGCCACAATTGTTGTGTAAATATATAATTGATGAGAATAAAATGTAACACACAAAATTTGTTTTTCTTCATAATCATCATATAAATCACGTGAACAAATTTCATATAAATTTGTTAATAAAATCAACATTGGTAAAGAAAATGAAATTCTTTTCGCATAAATTTGACTTTGAATTTTGTTAAAAAGAATTCCTTGATATGATGTTATTAATCTTTCAATTGATATCAATGAATGAAACCAATTATTCATCCATAAAAATAATTTTAATAATGGTTCAATAAGAAAACATCCAATACGAATAAAAAAACGATTTTGTAAAATATTCATATGAAGAATTAAAAGAAAACTAAATTGAAAACACAACATAAAGATTGACAAAAATGATGTAAATGATAAATTAAAAAGATAAATTGTACAACCATTTTCACGTAAGATTTTCTTTCGAAATGTTAAAAATAAAATGAAACTATTAATTAAACTAATAAATAATAAAAGTAAAATTAAAAATAAAGTAAATTTAATTAAATTTGATTGATTTGTTAATGTTTGATTTGATTGAATTTCATAACGTAAAAGATCATTTAATGTTAAACCAATACCTTTTCCATAAAATTGACATCGATCACCAAAGAAACAATCTGAACAAAGACAAAGAATTGAAACAGGACATAGAGGATGATTTTGAAAACATTTTCCATTATTAAGACAACGAATATTTTTTGGACATGTGGAATTTCTTTGATGAACAAATGAAAAACAATTCGCATAAAAATCTTTTTCACATAAACACATTAAATATTTATCATAAAAACATTTTAAATTTCGATGAATTTGACATAATGTTTGATAAAATTTAATAAGATAAATTCGAGGA